AAAACTATAATAGGGATAAAAAATTTGAAAACGTTGAAACTGACTTAAAATGCTAAAAAGTTGTAAAAATATACTGGTAGTGTATAGCATAATAGGGATATTGCCAGTTTTTGGAAGTTTATTATTATCATAATAATTTGACCCAGACCATTTTTGAAATGACCCAATTTAAAATGTCACGTGGGACATTTGACCCACTTTCCATAATTTCTAGATTGAACACTGAATGACCCTGAATGTCCGTTCTTCCAGTTTTTACCTAAGGAAAAGAACACGAGGTACAATCTTAGAAATACGTCAGTCTCTGACCCTAGAATCTACACTGACAGGTTTAAGAACGTTTTTAGTAACAGAATAATTTTTAGATATGATATGTAAATAGTTTTTTGAGTTTCTATTGTAACTTAGGATATGTGTTTTTATCTTAAGAAAAAAAGATTATTATTATTATTATTATTATTATTACAATTGAGCCAACGCAACTCTGGTTAGTGCAAATTAAATTTTGACAAACAAAATTTAATATCGATGCTGAGAAAAACAGTACCAAAATATTTTGTCTTTTGTTTAAGCACTGTCTCTGAAACAAGGGGAATGTTACTTTGACATTTTTAAAATAATTTCTAACAGTATCCCACACCATTTGCTGACTTTACTTCTGATCAGCAAAATTCTGGAAAAATGTCTTGAGTTAGACAAGTAAACTTTTGTTTTGATTTTAAATCACCTGCTGTCAATGGTTTTTTTTGAGCTCCTACAAAGTATGGCAAGTGTGCTAGAACCCCAGACAAAACTGCTGGGACAGTTCCATCTATTTTGTAACTTTTGCACCATATTAACAGCATTCTTCTCCTCTAAACAGAAAAACTAAGAACCCTCCCCACCCACTATTCAAAGTTGTTTTGGTCTAAAAACCAACATGTATAACAACATTGGATAAGGAGGGTGGAGGGGATGCAAACGGCTATTCATTTGGTGATGGTTTTCATTTTTGCCCGGGTGACCAGAAAAAATAGGTATTTTTGCGATGTGCCTCAACAGGTTTTGTCTGAGGTTGTAGTTTCTGACATCAAATTATTAGAAGAACCATAGTTAGGACTTAACAACAAACAATATTGTGAATTTCTGGGTAGTACTCCCTTACTCCCTGAAAGGTGAAGAACACCCCAGCTTTTATGATTTTTTAAGTGGTTAGTTACTCCTGGCCCAGAAACCAAAAATTGAGGAAATTACCAGTAATGGCCTTTTTGTCCTTGTGAGTATAAAAAATTTCAGGACATTTTTTAAATTAACCAGTTAATGCATACTTTAGAGGGGGGGGGGGGGGGGGGGGGGAAAATTGTTAGTATTAATTGTGACTTACATGTATCAACACAAAAAAAAAAGAAAAGAAGAAGATATAAGAATGTTTGTTGTTTTGTGTTATGGAATAAAAAATAAGTTATTTGTTTTTTAAAAAATAAAATTTAAATGGCGGGGGGGGGGGGGGGGGGGGGGGGGAGGAGGCAAATCTTGATGGACCTACTCTAATATTGAAATACTTTGTAAATAGCAAATACTTATTTTTTTCAGCTATTATTTACTTTCAATATTATATGTAAATTGTGCCCAGTATGTAGAAGTATGTTCTCTTTGCTTTTTTCTGTTCAATCCTTGTTACTGTAACTCTTAGTTTGCATTACTTCCTGTCATTGACTAGCACTTTCTTATTTTGTGGGTAAGGACTGTTGTATGGGTATAATTTGTATAGGTAATAGCATCATTTGGAGTCATATTTGGCATAAATACCACGAGTGATGTTTCGAAATTGTTATAGGTAATTTCATGAGCCATTAGGCGAGTGAAATTTGTGACAATTTTGAAATATCTCGAGTGGTATTTATGCCAAACATCATGTACAAATCATGCTATTATTCGTTTATACTACTACCCGCAAAAGGTTTGTAATTTTCACATGTAGGTATTTCAAATTAAGCTGAAATACCACTGCTCTAAGCCAATCAAATTGCAGAAATTTCTCATGTAGTGGTATAAAAATATTAATCAGTAAAATTGAACTTCAACTTGAACTTGTCAGTCCACTGGACTTTAACTTTCCATCTATGAATGCATAACACAAATTGAAGTTACATGTACATGTTCAAAAACATAATTTTAAAAGATTAGATCACCATTAATAAAAATACCAATCCCAAGAAACACTGCCAAGTCACTACCTACCACGTTTCACCAACAAAGACTGTCAACATCACAACAAATCAATCATCCTCATCAGCATCATCAAACTGCCCTGCAGTATCCTTATTTGATGGGCACAAAAATGGCATGGAACAGGCAGCTGATATAGGCGAGCAGTAAACAGCGGATTCATAATTTGCAGTCTTGGTAAATGCCTGACAAGCTGGAGGATATGAATACAGCAAGTTTTGCAGCTGGTTTTGAAAAAATACCTTGTTTCGGCTCCTTTCTTTAAATGTTTCCAGCACAACATTGTACGCCAAGGAGTCCTGTATTTCTTCATCCCAGTCTTCTGTTACATCCAAGTTTGAATTTGAGCTTATTTCATCATGCTGGGGTACAGATCCTACAGTCACATCTGGATGGTTTTCCTTCGTATCCAAATTCTTTAGATTTGATTCTTTGGGAAAAGAAACATCTGCATCTTCAAATATTTCACTGTAAAAGCCTTTAGAGCACTCCATGATAGTTTCTTCTCTTTTCTGAGATGATGTTGATTGATAAGTTGTGAAGGATGGAATTGATGTGTTTGTGATTTGATTCCTGTTTTTCACTTTCCTTTCATCTGGACCTAAGAAGAAAACAAATCTGTAACAACTTCTAAAAATAAAATAATCAATATCAAAGCAACTATAAGGTTGTGCTTTTTTAGACAATTACTCTCAGCACTTACCAAATCCACAGAATTGACAGTAGTATCAACCTTTTTTTAAGTGTAGGAGGACAGAAGAGTAATAAAGAAAAGCCAAAAAGGAGCATGGGTGGGCAGAACTCAAGGATATTGAAAAAGATTGCATTCAGGTTGCAAAGCACAGACCAAGTTTGTCTTAATTTCAAGGAAGACAATACTGCTGTTCAATGTTCTAGGGCTAGTGAAGCAAACCATCACATTAGCATGTTTTAATTACAATTGATCAATGGGTGAGCTGAAATTTGCAAAGATAAGTAAATATTCGTGACAACAGGGGTGGTAAGCTCCCATTTTGTATAATTTACATCTTGCGTTGAATTTGCATGAAGGTGCCAGGAAATCACCTATATTAAGTAACTGCAATGACACTGATAACAATGCTTATCATAATAGTATTTGTAGCATAAAAATAACTGACATGTTGACAGTTGTCACTCACAAGGTTGAGAATGAAAATTTGCTTTGTTTATTGTTTGTACCACAATAGTCAACAACAACAACAAGTCAATTAGATATTGGTCACCATTGATTTGGCTGCTAAATGCTGGTATCACGAGAGGATGGCATACATTAGCTGTGAAGGACTAAGTGCTAAGCAGTCAGGAAAAAATGACTACTGTGAGAGATGAATCCAGACATCTTTCTATAAACTAAAGGATATAATTTTCAACAGGTCCAGATAGCAGCAACAATATAGATAGCCACATAAACAAAACAACTCTTTCCTTAATTTACCAGACACGTTTTGACAGTACAACCATCATCTTTAGTGTTGCATAATTTTATTTTGAAATTGCCGTTGAATTTAAATCACGAGCAATGCTACAAAGTTTATTCTCTCTCTGCCCAACTGAGGCACTCACAGGGGTTCCCAGTGGTGCCAACAGTCAACCTCCATAAACTTCCAAGCTTTGTGGTTCTGTGCCAAAGTACAAATTTAGCGATGACAGGGGGATTTTCTGGATTGATTAGCTTTGCAGCATATTCATGGAATAGAATTTTATGTCCACCACGTCTTGGTTTTCCATGTGTTGGGTAGTACAGAGTATATTTAGAATAACAATATTGCATACTTAAAAGTTGAAATTAGTGACGTTAAGGGACTTACAGGGAGAAAGTAAGGTTTACGTGTTTCACCTGCTGGTTGAGATCGGGTTGCTATCATTTTATGAACATGGATTCCTACCTTCATGGGATTTCCATATTGACAAACTTCTCTTCATAGCAAATTCCAATGCTGCTTCACTGTAAGTTATCTCTTCTTCATCCGTGTCATCATCCTGGTAATCCTCCTCTTCTTCATCCACCTCATTTAATATCTGAACAGTCTTCTCTTCATCTGGCTCAACGTAGTCCTCCCTCGTCTTTCCACGCCAGTTGTTTTTGAGATTTGGGTCTCTAGAAGGATATTTCACTTGTTTTGTTAACTTGGGTACTTTTTCAGCTTTTAATTTAAATTGGTTTTTGTCCAAGTCTAGTCTTAAGAGCTTTTTGAGATTCAAAAGCTGCTTGGGAATCTTTGTAAGTTCATTGTGGAACAAATCTAAGGTTTGCAGGTTTGTCAAATTTGCAAAAGAACTGGGGAGTTCAGCCAGGTAATTGTTGCTTAATCTCAACTCAATAAGATTTGTCAGGTTTCCAAAATCTTCAGGAAGTCTTTCCAAAAAGTTTTGCGACAGCTGCAAGAACCATAGTCTGGTGAGGGAGCAAAAAGATTCAGGAAGTTTTCGTAAGCGGTTTTGTCCAAAATCAGCCCACTCTAAATTCTCTAAGGAGCCAAAGTTTTCTGGCAGTTCAGTAAGCAGGTTTTCATCTAAATGCAGCTTTTGGAGGTTAATCATCCAACCAAAAGAGTTAGGCAAACTGTGCAGCCAATTTCCATTCTGAAATGCTCTTCTTTCCAGTTCACAAATCGTACTCCCAAGTTGTAGCTTTTCAAGATGCTTCAATTCTCCCACGCTATCTGGTAATTGTGAGATGTTATTTCCTGACAGATCTAGAGTTCTTAATGATTTTCCAGATACTGATCCAAAGTTATCTGGTAGGGGGTTCCCTACCAACTGATTGTCGGCCATTCCAAGGTTCACAATATTACACAAACTTCCACACCAAGACGGCAGTGTTTTGACATAATTTTTCTCCATGAAAAAGCTTTCAATGACCCCGGCTGATTGGAAACTTTCTGGTAAATCTTCAATATGGTTGCCACTTAAATCAAGTATCTTTAAACTGGGAAGATCTCCTATTGATGCCGGTAACTCTGTCATGTTGTTTTGGCTCAAATTCAAAATCTCGAGTTTCATCAATGACCCAATGTCATCTGGAAGACTTGTAAGATTGTTATCTCCCAGCTCAAGCACTTTGAGGTTCTTCATACAACTAAGTGACTTGGGTAAAGTCGACAATCTATTCTCATCCAGCCGTAATTCTAATAACTGCTCCCCAAATCCTTTTTTCCACGAGTCGATTCCATTGCCCGTGGCATCCACGATTTCCAAGCGACGAAGCTTTGACAAGAACAGAGGCAGTTCACGAAGACAATTTTCGTTTAGGTGAAGACACTGCAAATTTTCAAGCTCTTGGATTGTTTCTGGCAATTCTTTCAACTGGTTACCCGTAGCAGATAAAACTCTCAATGCAGATAAACGAGAAATTTCCGCCGGCAAGACTTGGAAGTCGTTGTAGTCGAGATTCAAAACGGTGACATAAACGAGAGTTTCTGAGAAAAACTCAACAGGTAAAAAATCCAGCTCCAAAGAGGACAGTTCTAGAGATGTTTCTCCATTCAAAACAGCTTTCTCCACGATCTCCTTTGCTTCTTCCATTAAAAATGAATACGACGACAAAATACTACAATGCTTCTCTGACAGAACATGTGCGTTGTGTTTGACCTCGTCTTGAAGAGGCGACACAAGCCCTAGGACGAAAGACGAGGGGAGGGGACCCCCGACATCCGGCCCCGACTTAAGCCCCGACTATGGTTCTCGCTCAGCCGTAAATAATGCAAAGCGATAACATCTTTGACACAATTAAAATCGCCATAGCTCTTATTGGGTTTTCTTTTTAGTACAGTCTCCGCTACCCTGGCTACCGGAGGTTTTTTCTCGCTTGCGGTCATTGCGGCGGAGACGGTTCGGGGTTTAAAGTGTAGATACAGGCCGACACGTCTCCGGCCGAAGCCCGAAGACAAACGGAAGTTTCTGGCACCCCGGGGAACTCTCCTTGTAGATAAAGGCTGACAACTTGGTCTGCTTTGTTTCATGAAACACTCTACAAAGGACACCGGCTTTAACTTTCAGTGTAGACCCAAAAAAGTGCGACACAAAGAAGTTAATTTGAGCAAATACCCTGTATGGTCAAAATCTGGGGAAAAAGATGCGTCTTCACAAGTCAAATTAATTGGGATAAGTGTTTCCAAATTTGTTCAGATTTAATGTAGTATGGTCAGGATGTCAAAGAATCTTAATCCTACCTCGATATTTCCATTAAGGAGTCTTTATTTAGCTCTTATCTTTTCAAAGATAATAATTTAAGTATCAATGTTTAGATGGAACCCCCTCTCCATCCAAACATTGATACCTGCATAAATGGATATTTCCCTTCATGCTGACTTTTTATGTTGAGAATAAGGTGGAAATTATTGAGTAGGGCCAGGTAAAAGAGACACTTTTTTGGGGTTCCTAAAGAAACTTTTAATGTGCCTGGAAGGAGAACTAATGAGCTGAAAGCCATAACAACATTCTTGGGTGTAACTGGTTGTTCACCTCTTGCCTGCGTTTGAAGTTGATTTATTTAGTTGTTCATTTATTTATGGCAACATGCTCTTTATGAGATTAAGTAGACATAGTTAAATCCCGAAGTGATCTTATCTCTTTGAACTTTTAAGAAACCCGCAGTCCTAATTTTATGCCTTGTAAGAAGTACTTATTTTGGTTTTTAATTTTTGTTTGTTTATTTCTTTTCACATAAACTTATCATCATCATCATAATCATTCTCATATGCATTTTAGCTGGCAATTATAGAGACACTGCATTTATTCTTGAGAAATGTCAACCCCAAAGAATTTCTTTTGGTAAAGTGTATCAATTCTCATGCCAATTTCATAAATCCATCATGACAGGTTTTTAGCACCATATTCTTGTCCAATCTGCTTCGCTGTTACTCAGCGATGATTAGCTACACTTTTTTATTCCCAAGACTTTGAAGAAGACTCACAGCCATTCCACACCACTCTTCACATTCTATATTCACCATGTTGTTTCCACGCTGAAGCATTTCCTTCACACAAAGCTTTGACTGCTCTCCTATAAGCTTCATCTGGGGTGAATCCCACTAGTTTTGTTCCATAAAGGTTGACACCTTTTTTTGCTGCTATTTCTCTTACGCTGGCTTCTATTTGATCTGGACTTGTGTATTGAAAATTTCCCTCACTTGAAAGTTCCTACAAAGAAATATCAGTAACACAGGGAGTTGAATCAAATATTATTTCTTTACACCTACAACATACTGGATTGTAAGTCTCTCTAAAGAAACGAATTTCTGAAGTTGATTTTTTAGATATTTTTCTTTGACAAGTTACACCTTAAGGAGCTTAAGCAACCAAGGGGATGACTATAAACATGTAGAGTAAGAAAGTTTCATGTCCTTCATGAAGCCATTCATTAGACTTGGGGTAGAAGACCTCAAAGAGATGTACCAAAAAGTGTGATAGACCTGCAGTGCTGTTTTACTTTTTAGCTCATAACACCTATTTTTTATTGCTGGGGTCATTTACCGCCATGTGCCACTTACTTAAAGGACTTGTGTGTAAATGATTTATCCCATTTAGAGCAGCACTTGTTTAAGGATGGTGCCATTCAAGTCAAGAATGGTCCTTTTTTAAGTACATACCTTTGAGGCCTCAACATTACAGGCAATTTCCACTCTCCCCTCATGCTCAAATGCCATTGACTGGACACCAGCTAGTCCACCAGGCGTTGATGCACGAATAGCCTTGGCGATTTCCCTGCCGAGATTCAGGTCTTGACAGTCAATAGTGACATTACAGTTGGTCACATATGGGATAGCCCCCACCCCTGTGCAACCATACCTTGGGGAGGGAGGGGTACCAAGATCCCACCCTACCCTACTGAAATCCATTCCATGTTTACCATCGTACCAGTTGACTGCTTTGCGTCTTTCCACTAATCCTCTCAACAAGGGCTGATCAGCATAACCAAACAGAAACACAGAGGTGCCATCGATGGCACTGACCAGCCTTCTTGCTAGGTGCAGTGCTACGTCCCCGCATTCTGCTACAGTCACGCTAGTGGTTATTGTGTGAATTGGGATGAGGTCAACAGAACCCAATCTCGGATGTCCCCCAGAATGTTTCTCCAGGTTAATCTCACTGTAGGCAACTTCACAGGCTCGAAAGACACTTTCTTCGATGTTTTCTACTGGTGCTGCAATAGTAATCACAGATCTGTTGTAATCGTAATCGGAGAATATGTTTAAAACTGTCGACGAACATTTCAAAAGACTGTTTTTGCACTTGGAGGGGAAATTAATCGCGGCATTGGCCACCGATTCCACTAAGGCTCTGTTTCGAGCTTCGGAAATGTTCAATAAACATGCCACAAGACGAAAAGACGGTACAGAACGACTAATCTGGTTCATTTCTTCCAAACCAAAAAAGTGCTTTTTAAAGCGTTGTTCCCATTGGTTGTCGTATTTCGCGGGTAAAATTAACCAATCGAAAGGCTTGACAAAAGAGAACGACTTCACTTCATCAGCGGTTTTCGTTATAAAAGTAATGGCGAACGAATGAACAACCATTCGACTGCATTGAAAATGTCTAGTTTTGTTCGAATTCGTCTTAGTTTTCAACGTTCTTTGCCCTTAGCTGAGGCACAGAACTGCTGGTTTCTCTTTGATACCTCCACATGCAGTACGATCGCTGATTTAGAGTATTTAATCAAAGAAAGATTTGGAGGGCAATCCAAGAGAGAAAGATCATTTCAAGTGATAAATCTCTACCTGGATGACTACCTGCTGCCGTCACAAGAGAAGATTGAGATTATCCAGCAAAATGATAACATAAGGTGTGTGTTTTCGATCTGAACTCTTTAATTTTCGACTTTTATCTAGATTTCGAAAGTAGTCAGTACATGCATGACCTAAAGTATATGCATCAGTCAATTCTAGCTGCACCCTGTCTGATGAGCCAGTCTGCCAATCTGCTTGTGTTTGGATTTTGGGTAAAAACTACCTGTATGTAAAAAGCTTAGGGGTGTCCCCAGGGTTGGCAAATGCCCGACCCCTGGTTTTGCAAAATTTGCTTATACCCCCACTCCCGCCGCTAACAAGGCATTCAGATGCCCCACATTTCCCTGGGGGTGGGGATGGGTATAGCTGGAATTGATTGATCCGTTATGGCACTTATAATAAGTATTCAAATTAAGAAAAAATTACTATTGTGAACCAGTTTTGCTGGCTGGTCAATAGAAAATATTTTGCCTCTTGCTTTTTGTAATGAATGCCTCTTTGATCTCAATATCATCCAATTCATCATCATCATGTTGCATCGCACCAGTAGGTTTATAAAGCCAAAATCATCCAATTACCTGATTGATTTTTAAGCCCTTATTACCATCAGGACAACTTTCTATGTCTAAGAAATAGTAACTGTTGAAATTTTAATTTGGGATGTCCATGGCTGTCTTTTGTTAATTTGAGGGGACCATCTCTATATATAAATACTCAAGTTAGTTAAGTGCATGCACAAAATAATGAGTTTTTTAAAAAAATTAAAGTCTTTTTTAAGTTTATAATTTGTACATCAAATAACAGAGTGGAATTGGAACAAGCCAGTAAAAAGCATTCAAGAGAAAATGAGAAGAATTTCAAAGGTGAGAGGAAGTTTCACACTGTTAATAATCATTATGTATGAGACAAACTCTTTATTGTAATTATAAGCAATTATTGTTGGATGAGGGTGCAGAGCAAAGCATTGGTATTGTAAGTGGCATAACACTTTGAGAGATGCTGACAAACAGAGATGTTTATTGTTGACATTGCTTATGTCCTGTGCTATTTTTGAATTAGTTAGTGCCAAAAAAGGTGTATTTTTGACTGCAATAATATGACAAATAATACAGACACCTGTTAATACCTCACTTTCTATGGCTGTCCTCTCAATGTCCCTTTTGGGGTAGGACTCTACTTACATGTTGCTGATACTTTGCTTTACTATCTACAAACTGTATGTGTTTTTTGTTTTTATTTTAAGATGTCAGAACAAAGGTTAAAAGAAAACAGAAAACCACTGTCTTGCCAGTCAACAGGTAGAGTATTAACTACTCTTTACTTTATTGAATTCACCAGGGTGACTAAACATGGTGACAGGGGATGAAACAGGACTAAGGTCCCAACTGATATCAACCCCTTTATTACCTATCCATCCAATGAAAGGTTGTACCACACCACCAGGGTTTACACCCCCTACATTTTACAGACAGCAGTGTGAGTTCTTCTACGTCCCACAAGAATCAGAACATTGAAAGAGCTGTGAGACGGGACCTACAGTTTTTCATCCTTATCTGAGAAGACTAGAAATATATCTCAATCCATTCTGGATGTCACATCTAAGGCAGCACATTTTCCTCAGTTATTTTAAGACCTTAAGTGTTTTCTGGCCAGGATTTGAACCTGCAACCTCCTGCTCATCAGACCAGCACTTATCCAATTGAGCTAATCAGGCAGCAGTTGTTTTTGGTAAAAAATTGAACACTTATAGAGGGTGAAGTGGAGTAGCAAATTAAAATTATTGTGGCTAACATCCTAATGTTATAACAGATAAGCAACCCATTCTAACTTGAAATACTCCAGATTAAAAGCACAGTGCTCTGACCACTCAGCAGCTCTCCCTCCCTTAACATTGAGTACCGATGATCGGTAGTTTTTTGTTTGCCATATATATATTTAAGTGACAGTCTTCTTGATTTGTTGTAACAGAAGACACCTATTGTATGTTTCTGTGAAAATGTCAGACATTACCAGTTATAGTGAAGAAGTTGCTGATTATGTTAACTGTTGATTGCAGACAAATGTAATTATGCTTTAACAGCGCTAGCACTTTGGACAATTATTGGATTTTAGCGCTATATAAATAAAATTATTATTATTATTATTATTATTAACAATAGTTTCTTTACTTTTTTTCCCTCAAGGGACAAATCAAAGAAAAAATTAAAAAGAAAGAGCTCCTGTCCTTCAACAAGTTATACTGAAGCACAAAACCAGTCAGATGAGTTGCCCAAAGGAAAGAGCAGTGTGAAATACAAAAACAGCAATCCATCTGAGGCAAAACTTGGGAAGTCAAATGTAGCCAAGAGAAAAAATGATGCTGAGCCTTTGAAAAGCAATGCGAAAAAAAGTAAGACAAGTACAAATAGAACAGGAGATGTTCTTGTTAGTAAGGATGTTGTTCCAAGAGGAAATTTTTCCTCTGAGACTTCCATTACTACAGAGTCATTGATGGAGTCATCTAAAGATTCAGGACCTTCGATGTCACATTCAAAGTCTCATACCACTCTGAATGGAATTAAATTAACAGCCTTAAAAGCTGATGGCAAAAACAGCAAACATTCAGGACAGGGAACAAAAAGCAAATCATTGCCACCATCAAAAGGAACCAAAGGGAAGGCTGCCAATACTGTAACATCAAAGTCGTCAGCGTTACAGGAAAGAAGTAAAGGAAAGTCTGTGGCAAAGCCATCATCATCATCTTCGACATCTTTATTGTCATCAATAACTCGTGAAAGTAGACAAACTGAAGAGTCAGAAAGGGTGTTAACAAAAGCTGCTAATAAGAAGTATGTGTCAAGAACATCCAATGAAAAGGAACATGCAAAATCAGGGAGACTTAATGCAAAAAAATCTAATGGTCATTCAAAGATGGAGAAAATGTCTTCTTCATTATCATCGTCGTCACTATCATCATCGTCATCATCTTCATCACCAAGTTCAAGTGAAAATGAAGAGGATTCTGCCTCAAGGGAAATTTTCAAGGAAGCTGACACATTACCGTATCCATTATCTTCACCACCGTTACAACTGTCATCTTCTTCGTTAATTAGTTCTGCACTTGGCAGCAATCAAGGAGATAATACTGTACCATATGTCAAAAAATCTTTAGGTTTTAACTCAACTGAAAAGACTAAAGACGCTGAAATGGTGAAGAATTTGCAAAGATCAAGGAGAAGCCAAAATGGAAAGTCAGGTTAGTCAAGTTCAAGTACTACTACTAATAATAATTAGTACAACAATAATACAACAATGTACCGGTATATCAATATAGAGATTGCTTTGATTTTCAATTGTCTAAATAGATTGTTTGTATCTGTCAATGCTGGTCAAAGTGATAACATGGTACAGTTGAAGCTGTTCTGGTGACCTCTTTCATAAGCAACCAGCTTTAGTTACATCCAGCATTGTGAAACTCTATATGAACTGTGACTTGAGCTTTCTAATGAAAAGGTCTTGTTGGCAACCACCCAGTCAACACTTATATAAAATGACTTACTCCTTGATCAAATTTAGTTTCTTATTTTTTTTTGTTTAAGATTATGTTTATGGTGAGTTAACCAGTTTAAAAAAATATCAAATCAAAGAAAAGTATGAACCACAACATAATTATTTTCATGCACCATTAACTTTTTTAATTAGTACAATTTTATTTTAGGCCCTGGGCACATAAGGTTTGATTCAGAGGATGATACCTCTGAAAAAGAAGAGGAAAGCTGCTCGGAGATTAACATCACAGGTTCTCTTGATAGCTCAGTACCTTATCAAACTCATTTGACAGCTAGCTCAAAGGATGATCAGACAAGTTCCATATTAATTACTGATAAAAAACAGGTAACTATGTTTGTTTAGTGCAACGTTTCATTTTGGGTATAGTTATTTATGATAATGTCAGTTACTGGAAGTACCCGAAATCTCATTGGGACAAGCCCAAGTTACCTTAACAATAGATTGTGGATGCTTCAAATCTGGTATCTTTATGGATACCTCAATCTATAACACCAACCCCTCCCTATTATGCAGTCATGTCCTATATACTCCACTAGATTATGGTGGACATAGAATGGAGTCCACTGGACTTACTAGAAGTCTAGTTGTGAAAATGAAACTAGAAATTAAAACAAATTTAACCTTCCCAGTTGTTCGAAGGCCAATATTAGCGCTAACCTGTGGTTAAATTTTATTCTGGGTTTCTTTGTCTGTTGTTCAAAAGCATTTTCTTGGATAATTTTCTCTTTTATTTTTCAAGCATCCAATCATAAAATTGTAGACAAAAAGATTTCAACTGAATTTGTTTCCTAAGCTTTCTTCTGAATGAAAATTTTGCACTAACTCTAAGTTATATTAACCCAGCTTTGAACAACCCGGCCCAGTAAAAGGAAAAAAATCGTCCAGGGAGATTCGAGTGGTAAAAATGGAGTTACCGGAAATCAAAGTCATGAAAAGAAATCGAAAGTAAAACAATTTAACCTTAGGTTGGGTAGAAAAGTCATCCAATGGAGTCCATCAGAGTTCACGGGAAACACATCGAGTGCATGGAGTTACCCGAGGTCTAGTCATGAGATGAAACCAGAAGTCTAAACATTTTAACATCTGTGAGGCTAAAATAGTTGTCCAGTGGAGTGCATTGGAGTCCACTGGAGTTATGGAAAGTCTGTTGGCAAAATACCTTGTTCTGTTAGCCATGACCACAAGTGTATTTGCCTCTTTTTTTGACGAAGGAGAACAAACTTTTTTTTATTGGTGCTGTATTTTTGTCACCTTTTTGAGTCCACTTGCACGTGTAGAGTCAGAAGTTAAAATATAGTCAACGACAACAACAACATTTAAAGACTTTATCTATTCTTGCCAGCGAATAACCAAGATTATGAACCTTTTGTTATCTAGTTGTTTGTAAGATTATACTTCCTTTTTTGCTTTCTTTGTTAACAGGAACCATCTCGGCGAGATTACAGTCTTTGCACTCCACTCCACGGTCCACCCCGAAGTGAAGACAAGATAGCCTACAAGGTTAGTGTGGGCTGGCAGAATAAGAAACTTTGGTACTGGAGAGGTTTGAGTCACTTTTACGGCAAACAGAAAACGGCAGACACAAGTTGAGAATTTTTCTAAATAGAACATGAGCATATCAATAAAAACAGTACACTTACCGTAAGTATGCTTATTATAATGAATAAAGTTCGCATTTACCTCAGTCTACTTTACTTACATCCTGAAAAAAGTGGCAACACAGCTGTCGAACATTTCTGGCGGGATTTCAGTTGGTTTGTTGTTTCGAAAACGTGGATCCATCTCGGTCTTTTCAACACTGGATAGCTGTTGCTCTAACTTCTTTGTCCGTTGTAGTCCGTTTGATTTCGTTTGTATTACTTTTGTAACTTTGACATCCTAGAAGTCCGAATGGAAGTTAAAACTAGGGTTTTATAGTGTTGTAAAAGTTTTGGCCGTCGGTATCTGCTTTATTTTTCGGCGGGAAAATGTGAAGTAGGCCGCAAGCATCGCCGGGGTTTTTCGTTATGCAGTGGGTTTTCGTGCTTTCTGATTCGCTGTATTAAAAAGTGTTCAAAAGTATTCATCTAACGGGGAAGTCGTGAGATACTTTTTTATGCCTTGTTTTCTATATATGTCTAAGTCATTTTAGCGGACTGATAATTTTCATTTAATACTAATTTGAAAATTCTTCCCTTTAACAGGTGCTAGAATTATCAGCATCCTACACACCTGAAGTTTCAGACTACAAGGTACATATAAGATTCTGGGAAAACTGTGTCCACCTACCCTTCCCCTAACCCAACATTTTGTCGTAAGTGAGAAGTTAGTGTTAACGTTGGATTAGGGGAGGGGTAGGTGGGGACAGTGCCACAAAAAACATGTCCATTAAACATCAGACTGCTTTCAAAAGTTTAGTTTTATCGGCCGGTAGCCTGAGTAGAAATTCCGTACTGATATCACTACCCAGATCTGGGTGGAGCTTCTGATTGGTTGAAGCAAATTTTCGTTTGTGCGTCTTTTTTCCCTCCACCTGCTACGCAGGCTAACGTCTCTCCTGCGAGACGTCCCTAACGGCGCGTGGCGAAAAGAGACGGCAATATTCGCAGGCTATACTACTCAGTCGGTAGAGCGCTTGACTGCGGAGCGGAAGGTCGCGGGTTCGATTCCCGGGGCCGGACAATTACTCAGCGTGTTAAAATAACTGAAAAATGAAGGTACTCCCTTTGCACTGTAAGCGGCTAGACCTTCGCGTGGCTCGGATGACCACGTAAAATGGCGGTCCCGTTTCCATTAGGAGACGTTAAAACTACTGTCCCCAATTAGTACTTCCGTGCTAAATACATTGACACTCAAAAACGCATTTTTTTAGACTAAATTTGGCGAGCGTCAGTTGCGCATGCAACAGTCTGAAACAGTGTTTCATTTGGTTAAGATTAGCCAGCGCAGTATGCAAATTTAATTGGCCCTATCCTCTCTTTTCCATGAGTGTCTTTACATTTCCCTTCCGTATGTACGTTACTTCATTTATTTGGATCCTGCCAAAACCTGGTTATCTCTCTTCTGTTTTGTTCATCATACAGGAAGGTACTGTTCTTTCTTATGACCCAATTAGTGGAGCTGTTAGTGTTGAACTTACAAAGGAATCACTGAAAAAGACCCAAGGTAAGTTTGGTTTGGTGCAGAAAGTGAATGATTAAGTGAATGTCAACAGCGCTTTCAGGCTACGGATGGAAAATTCGTGCGTTTAAGTGTTTCGTTCAGACGGAACCACTCTAAATGTACGAAAGTTTAGACACCTAGCCGTTCAGCCGTTATGGTCAATAAAAAAATTTGACCGGCGCGGTGTGAACACCATAACGGTTTAAAATTTTTGTGTGGCAAAGGCGTGGTTGCATGGATGCGTGGTAACTCAGCTGGGAGACGCCATTTTGGATTTGCTAAAGTAGTGTTCTGCGCATGGACAGATACTAAAACCTCAGAGAATAATTAAAATTTGCCTTATCCGTCAGTTCCGTGTGAACGGAGTGAAAGCATTGAACGGTTCCATGTGAACGCAGCGTTAGGTGCGGTCACACCACTGCAACTGCCGAATAAGTCAACATCTCCTATCTTGTTTTCTTCCCACTTCATTTGGGGTAACGTGACGTGATGATATGCCGACGGCAAACATAAGCAGCTTTTTGCTGTTTGCTGTAAACGTGGTGCTTAACCTCTCTTTCTATTGCACGCAGTTTTATTTTTCCCGGTAAAAGGCTCATTGCAATGCAACACTTACTTCGTCCAATCATAAGTCGCAGACAATAAAATGAGCCAATCAGAACCAATCAGAACCGATGCAAATGCCAGTGCTGTGTAAACTAATGACAGTTGATTTTGTTACAGCCGACTTTTGACCAAAGACAAATAGGTCAGCGCTATCGTAGCCGCTATACATTTATCTTTTTAATAAAACGTATACAGTATTTGATATTGATGTCCGTTCTTTGGATATTCTCACTGTTGCTAAATATGACAGTGAAATTCATCTTCTAAAATGTTTTCTTTTGTTTACTTCAGGCGATGGAAACGTTTCCAGAAAGTTTGAACTTGATGATGGTGAAAGTGAAGAAGCAGACTCGGAGGTACATTTTAAATTTGGTAGACAATCAGAGATGGCGTTAGCCTTCAAATACAGCCGCTTCTCTGGCTCGCCTCTCTCGCCAAACAACCCAGCAACGAAAGACTCAGAGACGGCTGTATTCGCAGGCTTCTGATGGCGTAGCTTACACAGCGAAAACAAATAAAAGGTGTTGCATATAAATCAGGCGCATCTGAAGGAACGCAAAGAAAAAAATAAATAATGTTATGCACACCAAACTGTTTTGGTGGTAATCGTCTCATCTTATCGTTTTTTAGGTAGTGGTTCAATGGTCTTCTATGCTAGATCCCGTGTTAATCAGCGACTGATATCGGATTTACTATGGGATAGAGGCAGACGGGGACAAATAAATTGTTCACAAGACGCAGATTCAGCATGATCTTCTGCAATGAAAGGTTCCTTGCGTAACCTTTAATTCCTCATCTCTCGGATACATCAGAGGATATGTTGCACAGACCTGACCGGCTCTGCAATACGTCTCGTTGTCTGCACTGTAGGGGCAGACTTTTTGTTCCCCGCAAAATTTTGTTTTTAGTTTTTCATTTTAAAAAACAGTGTCGCTTAAGGGAGCTTGTGCCTTCATCATTCTACTACTTATTACACTAATCTAGCTGTCCTGACGTTAGTACTGGTAGGCATTTAGTGTCTTCTGACAATATTCTAATGTCAGAACAGTTTGACAGACATATTAAAGGATATTTCAACTGTATTATGCAAAATTAGAGACAGTGTTCCCCGTTCTCGTTAAACATGTTTCCTGAGCTTCTTTCTAAGTTAGTTTTGAAATCAAAACCAGGGAACGATTTCTAGTAGCCTGTTTCGCAGACACTCTAATTTTAGTACCTTACCTTTTTTAAGAAATCTCTATGTTGTGTTAAGTTTCGGCAGAAACTATTTTGTTGAGGTGAGGATCTGAAGTTTAGACCGCGCAGATGTAAGAACCGTCAGTTTCACTACTGTCACGTGTCAACTATTGGACATCCGATCTGTAAGTTGTTTAGATCAGAATGATTTATCCTCGAACCATCCCTTTTGATTTCAGCTAAACAGCTAAACTACGCCTTGTAATGGTTGTTAGCAATGAACCCATTTGTAATGTAACTCTTATGTAACCATATAAGTGAAAACATTTTTTTATTAAACACAAAATTTTCTAGCTACCTTGCGACCCATTGTGTTTGTTTTAATGCACGCGTGCTCATGTGAAATCTATTTCAAGTTTTTCTTTGACGAGCAAATAAAAACTTCTATATTTTCCATGTACCCTTCCTAAAAAAACCTATGAAGAGAGAGTGCTACAAAGCGTAAATCTTATTTTCGGGAGGTAATTGAGCGCATGTAATTTCTTAGTTAAGACTGTCTCATCACCAGTTGCTCACGATCGCATATTTTGGAGATATTTTAGTTGGTAGGGAGCTTAGGCAATCATAACGGCCACGGCGGTGAAAACGCGAAATGATGGCAAAGGAATGTACAAAAAAAAGTAATGCGCGTGCAAAGTTTGTTATTCTGTTTATCTAAATCTAGTTGCTGACAGATGCCCATCACGTGCACGCGACTATCACGCGTTGTTCGCGCGCCTCCGGGATCCCGCTTTTACTGTCTCTGCTCCATGTTCAGCCAGGAGAAAGCCGTGGGGGAGGCAGTAGATTTAATTGTAACCATTTGTATTCTCTGAGTCGGGTAGTACTGGTTAGTACATGCACAGAACCGGGGAGAATGCGTCAAGTAGTTGTTTACAAGGGTGTTTTAAATGGTAATTTTGTACAGCTTGCAACAGCCCCTATAATAAATACGTGAAACTGAGATCTTTCAGATTCCATTTCTTGGAAACTAATGAAACTGAATCTCATTTCTGGGAGCTGCCAATTACTTTAAACGTAGGATCCAGAAATGGTAGTTTGTTGTTTTCTTAGCCTGTGAAACGTCATCTCCACTTTTTTCGTCTGATAAAAAAAACTTTATTGCTTAGCTGTCAAAAATGTTTGCAATTCTCAATTGTGTTTATTGAAATGTGTACATTGCGTTTACTGAAACCTATTATAGAACTATCCTGCTTGATTCACACTGTGCGGAAATAAAGTCTTCTTAATTTCCCAAGAAAAACTCTGAGCTAAAGACTCTGACGCTTTTCTTGTTTATTATAATTATGTAAAAATAATGTTTCTTCTGATTTTGCCCTTTCCTTAAACGTCTCTTTAACTTATGTTTCTGCCCCTGTTCATCAAAATTTAGTTAATCGAAGATCACCTTCGTTTTGCAAACTTACCATTATTTTTATTTTGGGAAGGGGAAGGCAACCCTCTGAGACTGTCGTGTGTTTTTGCAATGTTTAGTAAAAAAGCAATTTTGTTTATTGAGTTTAATAGCACGATAATCGAGACTTATTTTGATCGGCAAGGAACACCTTTGATCTATAGGCCATTCGGATTCTTTAAAACTTAAGCCCGTTGACCCAGATAGAGAAAGACGCCGTTTAAGGCTACTTCTGAAACGATTCCCGATTTAAAGTTGTTTCAGTGCTTTTTATGTTTTGTCTTTGTTGTTTTTTCTGGTACAAATTAAATACGGCGGCATTTCACTTTCTCGAAACTACTCAGTGGGGGGAAAAGGAAATTGGTTTGAATTCATCACGGCAAAATTACAGTATTTGACTGGGAAAGGGTAGTCTGGCAGTTTTGGCTTCAATTATTAGGAGTTAAAGTAAAAGTCACCTAAAATCGGGATTCTAATGTGTGCATAATTTATTTTATTATATACTTTATGCAACTCTCCGACTTCGGACATGCGCATATGCATAACACAGAGCATGCATGCTTAGCTTTTCCTCGGCTACCACTATCATTTCATTGGTACGTGATCCTTCATTATTCCTCTCGCGGCTTGTGTATAAAAAGAGAGCTAGGAAACGGTAAGACCGGTCGGAACCCTGAACTGAGAGGGGCGAAATATCGAGCCTCACCTCCGAGCCTCTCCCGAAAAGGGACCTTCACCAACCTCCCTAACTATTCCCCAACCACACAAGACTGATTGTGTCTGTTCTTAAATTTCTTTGTAATTAACGGAGCTCGTTCACTTCTGATCAACTGAAAAACATTTAATTTTGGTCACGCAATGCTTAAAACTTGGAGTTGCGTTACTAAAAATTTATTCAGCAACAGACCGAGGAAATTTACTCAGCACCATGTAGTTCCAGGTCCCCCTCCAATTTTCCTCCCATTCTCCTCCCATCTGCTTTATGGACGGTAAGTCGCTGTCTGTTTGTATTAATAATACCATGACATTAGACAATTTATACTTTTATTTTTACCGTAGCAATCCAAGTTACCTTATTTTATCGGTATCATTTTGTCATGTTTCTCGCCAGACTATTCAAATTTGGAAGTTGTTGATCAAAGCAGGTATGGTGAATTGCTGAATTATGAGTGTGCCAGTGAGCGTAATATGCAGTTACATGAATTGGGTTATAAATAGCGCTTTGTTTCTGATTTTTAAATTTTCATATTTTTTTCTAGTTTGGGCACTTTATCTCTTTTGCATCTGGGTTTGGATTATAAAAATTTTTTGAGTCTGTTATTTCACCCTTTGTTCAAGTACATGAGATGTTGATGAAGTCGAGTTAATAATTTCAGTGAAATTCTTGACCATTATTGGTAACAAATTAACTTTACTAGCGACGGGATTGAAGGGGTAGTCGCTGCGAAAATCTTGACTATTCGGCCCATTGTGGCCGGCTTCCGTATTGAAATTTTTCATTTTTTGATAATCAAATGCCTGAAAGCGGTAATCTTCATCATGCAAGAAATATGTTTAAAAAAATACTATTTGGACAAAAAATTTTTTCTGTGCTCGCAGCCTGCTCAGCATATTTGCCGGTTTTTTCTTGAGCTGATATGACAAGTCACGTGGTTGATTGAACCAATCACGTCGATTCCTCCTGTACCCTTCCCATGATGCTCTGGTTTGTCTATGTTGTGGTGCGCGCGCGTTTGGTTTTTCACGTCCCCCAAAACAACATGTCGTCCTCCGATCCTGTAATGACTTCTCCAAGTACCATCATTTCTTCTGACAATAAATTAGCTGTCTTTTCTCAAACTCAACCTGAGAAGCCTTTCCACTACACGTAAGTGTGTTCGAGATTTTCTGTGTCTAGCTTTCGCTAGTATGTGTTGTCATAATTTTTTTTCCTTTCGAATCGTCCAGGTACCTGAAGGAGTTTCGGGTCGAGCAATGTCCGCTATTTCTACAACACAAGTGTACAGCTCACAGACCGTTCACCTGCTTTCACTGGCATTTCATGAATCAGCGGAGGAGGAGACCGAAAAAGAAAAGGGATGGCACTTTTAACTATAGTCCTGATGTCTACTGCACTCAGTACGATGAAACATCAGGGATTTGCCCTTCGGGTGACGAGTATGTACCAGGGATTTTCTCTTGCTTTTACCTCGTTTATTTGCAGAGTGAAAACGAAATGGCCGCTTGTTTGTGATGTGATCGATCAATTTGTGAATTAAGTTCCTTTTCTCTTTCAGTTGTCCCTACTTACACCGTGTAGCTGGCGATGTGGAACGTCGCTACCATCTTCGATACTACAAAACTGCAACCTGTGTTCACGAGACCGATACTCGTGGATATTGTGTAAAAAATGGCCCGCATTGTGCGTTTGCTCATGGACCTCTTGATCTAAGGCAACCTGTGTATGATATACGAGAACTGCAAGCCATAGAAAAGGAAGAAACTGATGTTGGACAAGCAGGAATCGAAAATAATAAAGCAGTTCTAGAAGATCCCCGCTGGCAAGGTCTGTAAAGTACTGTACGTTGCTTAAATGTACACAAGTGCTATCTCTTTTACACTTTCTTTATGGTTTGTTTAGCAGCCGTAAAATATACAGTTTAAGTCTTTTCTCGCGGGTATCCATTTTTGAATGTGTTAAATAAGTTTAACCTTTAAAGACCTATGGTGCGACCCCGAAATTTAGATAGAGTTTAATTGCATGGTAGTTCACTATATTTTTTTTCCTGATTTGTGACGAAAACAACATTTATAACAGTTTGCTGCTGGAATCTCATTTTTTGTCTGTAAATTATAATAGCTGATTCGCCTCCTACGCGATAACAAACACTAATGTGATGGAAATTTTCTCTGCTGTTTAACAAAGTTGTAGTTCTAACAGTGTTATTCATTATTTATGGATTCTTCCATTGTCTTTACGGTTTAAATCTGATCGCAGTTAATCTTTAATCTCCACAAATTTTATTTGACGTTGAGGATTTCCCATGTTATACGCCGCCTAATGCCAAGTATATGAGCTTGTTCTTCTTTCTTTGGTCTTGTAAAAATAGCCCAACGAAAGGCTGTTTATCAAACTACCGAATGGCATTGTTTTAGTGTATGTTATATTTTGTTCAAAAATTGTCTGTTGGTACAACGTTATATTGGTGTTTTTAATGGCATTATTGGTGAATTGCCTTGAAAAATCTCGAGTCATTCAGTTAAAACTAAACCAAAATGATTTGCCATTGCATTTCAGATACCAACTATGTTTTATCAAATTATAAGACAGAACCATGCAAAAAACCACCCAGGCTATGCCGACAGGGCTATGCTTGTCCTCATTACCACAATACTAGGGATCGTCGGCGCAGTCCAAGAAAATTTCGGTATAGGTGAGTGTGCTGAGACAGATCTTTAGGAGACTGAAATTTTATTGTCTATCCAAAACTGCTCACGTCACCGTTATGACCAGGAAATTGGAGATTTCCTTTACAACTTGAGAGGCATTAGGGCATTGTTTTATAAGTGCTAGGGAAGCAAAAGGCCATGTTTTTTTCATGACAGCCACATAATTTCACTGCAACACATGAGTACAGTGGCTGTAGGGAACAGGAACGTGTTATATTGACAACAACCTTCTTCTCTATTTACTCTTGTTTAAGCTTAGCACAAAAATAAGAGTGGTTTGTCTTTAGAATTTATTGACAAATGTGGCATACGCAAGTGAGATTCACTTGTATGGGAAAAATGAACTATTGCTATCACATTGACCCATGTATAAACTGCATAAACTTTTTTCTCATTGTTAGGTCCACTCCTTGTCCTCATGTTAAACATGGTGATGAATGGGGAGAACCAACAAATTGTGACAGTGGGGATAATTGCCCATATTGTCACACAAGAACAGAGCAACAATTTCATCCTGAGGTAGGCAATGTCTCTTTACGATACCACAAACCTGTACATGTAACATATACACAGTCAACTCTCTCTATAGAGGACAGCATGGGGACCTCTAGTTAGTGTCCTCATTAGCAAGAGTCCATAATAGCAGGAGCCTATTTCAGTCAAGCATCTGCAATCTATTTATGTCCCAGGATTTAGCTGCTGTCCGTATTACTGGGGTTTCTGTTATAGTGAGGTGTCTGCAGTGCAATAGTTGACTGCATTTTTTGCACTTTTTAAGATTGTAAAAGAGCGACAGTCACTTTGAATAAAGGCCATAACTAGACAATTACTCAGAGCTGTCATTAAGAGGCAAAGGGCCAGGGATTTATCCTGGCTTCTATGATTGTGGCCCTAAGCTACTTTCAAAAAAAAGTAGAATGAAAAGAAACCCCTAGCTGTTTGATTTCCCACCTACTTGTAGTATTTACCCAGCAACTTGAAATCTTAGTGACAACCCTGATTACTGGTCATACCAGACTTGAACGGTAGTCATCTACCCCATGAAAACAACTAGTCTTTTGATAAATGCTCTTCAGGTAATAGTCCTTTTTTTTTTTGTTGGTTAGTTTGTGTTAAGAGTACTTGTTTTCTACCATAATAATTTTATCAATTTGCCATTGAGTAGATTTGCACAAAACTACTGAATTTTGGGGGAAATGAGACTTGTCAGGCACCATAAAAAAAAACATACTTCATTTACTTCATGTTCATTACATTAGTGTTCACTGGGCAGTGAAAAGAGCATTTCAACACTTCAAAACAATGCAAACATCCTTTCTGCATTGTCTGAGAATTTTTTTTGCTGCTTAAAGTTCATATGAAATTTGTTTAGCAAATTGTGTAGACCACTTTCTCTGGGCAATGTTTTGAAATGGGAATAAGTCCTTTATAGTAACAGTTTATGTAAAGAAACATGAGTGCTGTTGAGAATAGCCTTGAAGGAGTTTTAAAGTAATTTTGTTTCACTTTGTTCTATTATTAACAGATATACAAGTCAACAAAATGTAATGATATGCAGCAGACAGGCTATTGCCCCAGGGGACCTTTCTGTGCTTTTGCGCATGTAGATCGTAAGTATTTGCTGTCTTTACTGTACAATGTCAAGCTGTTGTTACTGTAAATGATAAACTTTTGAACAAAATTGGGGGAAAAGGGAATATTGAGTGATTGCTTTAACAGAGATGTGTGTCGGCCCAGATTTATTACCAGTGCAAGGAATGAATTCTTTTATTCTGTGGTAAACAACTTGAAGAATCAGGCTGTTACTGTTTGCTAGAGTGATCTAAAAGTAAAAAGAGTTTTCAATTTTTGAACTGAGAAAAGTATTAGATCTTCTCCTATGCTTATTTCTTGAGTTTGAAGGAAAAACGAACAAACAAAATATTTTTTTGTTTAATTAAGTCTCTCACTCAAAAATCAATATGGTCTCTTATATGATACATGTAACTACAATCTTTCACAGAATAAAATAGAGCAGCAAACCCCCATCCCCCTAAATCATGGATGAAGCTTCGCAAAAAGCCAAAATGTGCCATTTTCCTTTCCTTGATTTGGGGGGAAGAGAGTGGGGAGTGGGGGATATAAATTTCTCATCTATTTTGTCCAAGATTGTAGTTCTGAATTAGTGAAAAAGTAGAATACATACTGAGTTTGAACATTTGTCACTCTGCAGAAGACACAACCACTTCCAGAGAATCTAATGGTGAACCAAGTTATAGCCAGGTACAAGACTCTTACACCAAAATAAGTAACTACAGACAAGTCAGTTCTTTGGATTGGAAGTACAAAGCATTATGTTGTCAGGGGGGTAGGGGTAAGGTAAAAAATTGGTTAAACAGGTGTTAGCTTTTATACAGATGAATTAATATAAAATACAGGTTCTGATAGCAAGCCCCATTAATGGGCCATTTAAGATGGTGAGTGTAACCTGTCAGAGTATTATTTTTGTTTTTAAAAAGTTCCCTTTTCTCATCGCCTCGAAATTAGCGAAAGGAACAGCTGTTTTATCAAATATAATCTATCGATCAGGTTACTTCCTGAAAGGAACTCTAGCTTGTTTGTCTGCATCATAGAGAGATGTCCGTTTCATGGAAATGGGGATGTTTTTCATTTTTATATCTTTGAAGAAGAGTGTGTTGTAGGACAGGTACAAGTCTGTAAATTGTACTTGTAATATCTCAGTTAATATCCACGGTATTATTTTGGTTATAATACTCATGAATGGTTTGTTGTTTGTATTTTTCCCCAACAGCTTTATTCAATTCCCTCATCACCCCTTAGTCCTGTTGATAATGGAGCCATCATGATGACCAGCTTAGCACATGTAGTGAGCAGGCCTACTCGGTCCATGTCAACATCTTCAGGAGGGTCACACTCTAGTGAACCATCTACTCCCTCTAGTTTGTATCCGAAAGCTCCAGGGTCTGAACGGTCTGAGCGAAGTGGAAGCCGTGAAGATGAACAGCAGGTTGTTAGACAAAAGGACCTTCTTTTTGTGTTTTTGGGTGAAGTGCATTATTTTAACTCGCTTTCTTTGTACAATTGAATGACAATTCAGGAAATTTTATTTCAAGCTGCCTCAGCTTGGCAACATTCTGTAGTTGACCAATTTTGTGAGAAAAGAAGGCATGTCACTTGATAAATTTAAGGAAGTTGCTAATCAGGGAAGGGAAAAATTCACTCACAGCCTGGTAAAAAAAAATGTAGGCAAGGTCAGTGAAAATTGTTTTGAAGTTAGGGAAAAGCCGATAGATTTTATTTTACTTAAATGAGTTACAACTGTGTCATTGCTCAAAGTTTTTGTTTCAGTGGTTATATGGTGGTTAAGTTCAGTATTGAAAAATAAAGGTCCAGACTGTGTTAGCACAGATTAGTGCTGAAATTCTTTTTACTATAATTTTTTTCCAGGCATATATAAGAAAACAGATCTTGCAAATTGAAAATGATCCAACTTTAGATGATATTGAGAAAGCCCGAAGGAAGCAGGTATTTATGTCTTTTAGATCATGGTGTTATAATCATGTATTTTTCCTGTTTAGACTGGTTAATAGTCATCTATGTCAGAAGTGCATTCTTCTATTTCAAATGCAAAAATGACTACTTTCTCCTGCCAGCAGTGTTTATAGCACAGTGCTGGAGTAGAACATATGACTAACTCATAACTTCTAAGTACTTTGATGGTCAAGACAGCTGGTTTTTATATGGGGCAGGAAGTTTTGAAGATCAGCCAAAACTTGAAAAGCAGTTGCCATCTGGTTTTCTATCCCTGAGTGTAAAAGAATCAATTGTGGATTAATTGGATCTTTCTTTTTTATTCCAGAACATTATTGGTACAAGACAAGTATTTCCTACTGGTTCCTCATCTTCTTTCTCTACCGTGTCTGCCAGTGCTCCTCCATTCTACCCTGCTGCTGATACAGTAGAGTCTGTAGTAGAGAGTGCGCTGGATGACCTAAACCTAGATGATTTTGATGTTAGTGAGCTGGAAAAAGAGCTTAACAATGCATCTCCGGTATCATCTACACTCGGAGATTCCTTTTCAGCTCTTAATATTAGTCCAATGTGTTCAGCTCCTGTCACTATCCCAGGAGCAACTGAAGATATACCACCCCAAGCCTTCACACAGTCGCCCACCTCACCATTAGGACAGTTTTCTTCTTCTTATGGCTCTGCATCACAGCTAGTCTCAGGGCAAAAGGTAATGTGTAAATGTAAAGTTCCTCTCTGTTTCTAAAAATGAATACATGGCCTTTAATCCTTCACAAACTTGTTGTGGCTTTCTTTCATTAGCACTCACTACAGTTAGGAGGGCACACTGCTCTTTAAACAGAGTAGAAACTGAGATATTGTTTTCTAAGAGAAAAGGAAGTTTCTGTTATACTCAGAAAACTGTACTGAGACATATGATTAGACACAAGGATTTCTTGTGTCACTCTAGTTAAATTTGACCTTTTTTGTACTGAAAGCAAAATATGAAATGGATATGCAATTACACTGGTTGACATGTTGATTTTTATTCTGAAGGGCTCTAATCCTTACCGTGCAAGTCCATTAGTGAGAGGAAGTAGCCTACATTCTACTGTTTTGGACCCACTCACAGCTCAGCTTCAGTCACCCAAGTCTCTAGGTTCTCCCCAGATGGCGTCCCCTTTGGGGCTCAGCAATAGTGCAAATGAAATTCAGCGACTAAGTGAAGATCTTATGGCTGCCAAGAACAAGCTGGCTTCCTGGGAGGAGTCCTGGGCTCAAGCCAAACAAGCCTGTGATGCTTGGAAAAAGGAGGCAGAAGAATCAGCCAAGAAAGCTAAAGAAGCTGAAAAAAATAAATTAGAAGCTATTATGAAAATGGAAGAGGTAATGTTCGTTGTTTAATTACTGTAAATCCTCTATTAAGCCCCTCAGGAGGCTTATTTATTTCAAGCCCGTTTGACGGGGGGCCTAATAGAGACAGGGGGCTTATTTGAGTGGGGGGCCGTATTTAATTTAGAAAAGACAATGGTATCAGTTCTCCTTAAAGAACTAGAATACAAAGTGGAAAAAGCTCAAGAACAAGCAGGTTGGAGGTCATGCAGCCGAGGACCAGAATCAAATCGAAACTTCCAGTTGGCGAATAAACCATCCCGGATCAGTCCACACGAAGTTTTACTGTCGGGATTGATTAATACAGTCTCTCATTTGTTAGTGAAGAATAATTAGGGGAGGAGAGGGGGGCTTATTTACTTTCTTCCCCTGAAAAAGGGGGACTTATCAGAGGAAGGGGGCTTATTTGAGAGGGGGTGGGGGTTAATAGAGGATTGACGATATTTATGTAACTATATATCTAAAGCCTTCCTCTGGGCTTACATGTGTGCTACAATCCCTTTTTTCAGGGTTGTTTCTAGGATTTCAAGTTGCCGGGTAAATACAACAAGTAGGCGGGGAATCAAACAGCTAGGGATTTCTTTTGGTTCCATTTTTGTTCTATTTTCCAATAAAAGTAGCCGGGGGCCACTCTCTTAGTAGCCGGGGAAAATCCCTGGCCCCCAGCTCTTAATGACAACCCTGCTTTTTTGGTGGGGAAAGGGGGTGCACTTTTATAAAATTTCTGTAAGGTGAACTTAATGACATCCATGGTCACCTTTATGCAGCAATATTTTTCATGTGGAAGAAATTCCCCAACCCACTGTTTGTTTTATGGTATGTTTTGTAATGATGTTTTAGTGGAGGACTTAACACAGGAAAAAATAACGGATTCCCATTTTTGGATATTTTTGGGTATTTAAAGAATACCCATAAAAATCCCAAATTTGGCAAAGTGAGACAAGTCCCAACCAGGGAATTCCCAACCAAGTTGTCTCACTCTTCCAAATTTGGGATTTTTGTGGGTATTCTTTAAATACCCCAAAAATATCCAAAAATGGGAATCGGTTATTTTTCCCTGTGTAAGGTGGCTGAACACAGTTTCGCAGGCAGTCAGCGGTAGCGCATGTTTTAAATTAGACAAACAAACATGGCGGCGAAAAAAGCAATGGAACACAAAAGACGATTTCTCAAAATCTACTCATTAAAATTTTGTGATATTTGGCAGAATTTTTACTTTTATCGTATTTTAAATAATGAGAACTTTGAAATGGGAGTTGAACAGACGAATTTTGTGACATTTAATAATAACAGTACAATTATATTATTGATTATCTAAAAACCCCTCTGTTAAAATTTGGTCAAATAAGTTTCAAATAGTAATGATTAATTATAGTAAGCTGTGTGCGAGTTTATAGGAAAATCTAATGAGCGAATTTTATGTAAACTGAGTAAAAGTGAAATTTTAAGGTTGTATTCAATCGTTCATGTTGCCATGGAAACTACGAAAACGTCAAATTTTGCCTGTCAGTCAAAATCCTTCATCATTATATTTTTCACTTGCCAAGTTTCAGCTTGTGAGCTGCAACCTTTCTCTTGCCATAATTTGGCAAATGACGCATACTCAGAAACTGCCGAAACTGTGTTCAGCCACCTTAATCTGTTGTTTTTTATGAAGGTGGTATGAGCTGGGGAAATACAAATTTAAATGAAGATATGATTGTTGCAGTGATAATTGCAATTTAAGCAAATGCAAAGTAACGCAAAAGAAATCTTGGAACTTCAATGGCATTTGAACCCATGGCATCTGCATTAGTCCATTAGTGAGAGAGCCCGTCAGTGATAGTTGCAATTATCAGTGCAATGATCATATCTTCATTTAAATGAAGATATTTTTATTGTCTGTAGGCCGAATCTCAACTGAGCAGGTTAAAGCAGGAAATAGAAGAAATAAAAGCTGACCCTCATCTACGCACACTCAACTCTGTTGAAGATATCAGAGATTTACCTCTCTTAAAAATGAGACAGATTCATCGGCAACTTAGTTCAGATTTAGAAAAATTAAATCAGGTACATAAATTTTTATCTGATTATGTCTTGTTAAAATTTATTCTCTGTGTATCTGTTTGATAGTTTTATGTTTTTGGCTTATCTGTTTTGTTTAAGCTGCTTATGTGCATTTTCCCTGTATGTTTTAACATTCTTAGTGTTAATAAAATACCACAGAAAATGTCTTTAATGTAACAGGTTTAATGTAGTAGAAAGGACAGTGTCTAAAAGTACACATGAGTGTCACAAGAAATAATTTAAGATATTTTCATGATGTCATAGTGACAAAGCTATTTCTGGAGACAAAAATGTATAAAATAATTTTATTTATTTATTTATTTACTTAAACAGGAGCATCTGGTTGAGCTTAAACTAAAGCTTATTTATAAATTTAACCGTCTGGGTAAAAAAAAAAAAAGATTAAAGAAAAATTATAAAAATAGTACGCCATGAAAATACATAGAGACATCCAAGAATTAACAAGACCAAGCGCACTGTAGCTTGAATTGTGATTTCTATTTTTCTGTTTCCTTTTTAGGTTATGTACAGTAGAATAGCCCTAGTTTGCAGTCTTTGTGAAGAACATCAGAGATGCATCATGACAGCTCCATGCTTACATTGTACTATGTGTGAGGCATGTGCTTCACAGAGAGTTGAATGCCCAACATGTCATGTTCAAATTGCACAAAAAACCTTGATAAAGATACCTATTTGAGGTCATAATATATTACAGTTAGGCAATGTTTAGCCTGTTTTGAATTCTCTTTTAGGACTTGATATGATGTTTAAGAATCTATGAATTTAGCTTTTAAGGTATAATTATTAATGCATATATTATTCAAAGAATATTTCTTAGGGATTATGAATGCTTGTTTCATCTTCAAAATTATTAATATTATTAATATTATTTCCCTTTCCCAGTAATGAATTTATTGCAAAGTTGGAGGTTGAAACGTTTTGTGCTGGGTGTACATTACTTAGTGTATTTATATCAGCACTTCTTATTGTAAGGAGAAAACATCCAAAGATATGTTGTCTATTGCAATGACAAGCTGACTCAAGGAAATTAAAACAGCTGTCAGCACACGACTTATTGCCAGTTGTCATGAACATTTTTTAAACTTAAGTTATTCCGGACACAAATAGACCTTTTCACGGTTTTTTCAACTTTTTATATGGACTGTAGGGAAAATCCGTCGAAACCACCGCAAAGAGTGACTTAAAATTAGTATTGCCAAATTGCAAATACAATAGTAAAGTATCAACACCGACATGGCCTTTTCTTTAATACACAAAATGGCCGCTTTTGAAATTCAAACTTAGGGACATTTGACCCCCCCCCCCCCAAGGGGGTGGGTACTCAACAAATGTTTCTGCCGAGAAGCTCCTTCCTGAGGTCCAACCCCTTACCCCTTTATATACCATTTTTTTCGCGAAAAAGGTACCCCTTTCGTATACCTTCTATTGACAATCTGTTGACAAATGGCACCCTTTTCCCATACCTTGTCTAGTACTTTGTATCCTTTTTAGCTACTGTAAATGCACTGTCTTTTAAATAGGGGTCAATCATAAAAATAGAACGTTTCTCGACTTTTGAAAGCCATAAAATTCATCTGTTAGCCTTTTTGGGCCCTTTTACAGATCCTAATGACAAATTTCCCAACCCTTTTATATACTTCAACTAGTGAAATCCCTACCCTTTCATATACCTGAAGCCTGAAAAAGGTACCCCTTTTGGGCGGAGCCTCACCCTATATGCCATTATAGGGAGTACCCCGCCCCCCCGGATATGACCCCCCGTCCCCTAACATTGTGTCGTTGATGAGAGTCTGGCCAGGGAACATTGTGCGGGTTGAATTTGTTGTCGTTGTTCCTCTCCATTGTTAGAGTTTTCTCCAAGTTCTTTGGTTTTTCCGTCTAGACACCTCTATTCTGGGGCACCTTCAGAGTAATTTATAAGGTTTGTACTTGGTTAACTCTATCAAAGTGACACCTATTTTCAGTTAACACCTCTATTCTGGGGATTCTTGCCCTGCTCCCAAGGGTGTTCTTGAATGAAGGGTCAGTGAATTACTGGAACCTACCTGTAACCTCTTTTTCCTTGCTGGCCCCTTTGTAAACCGGAGCTCATATTAAGTTTAGTGACAGCTCAGTCATTTCGTCTAGAAGAGAAGAAAATTAAGAAATTGTACATCTATTCTCTTCACAAAGGACAGCTTTATACAACTTGTAGGTCTTGTGTGACATATTGTGGATGCTCACTTTTGTCCTTTAGTTTATGCCCTTAAAGGTGATGTTACACGAGGCGATTCGCAACGACCATTTTTAGCGCAACACTGCGTTGCAACATTGTTTCGAATAGTCACAACATTTTTACAACATTGTAACGCTGTGTTGCGCTAAAAATCGTCGTTGCGAATCGTCCTGTGTGACATCACCTGAAAAGAGACATCCTTATCTCTTGCTTTGTAGAGCACTTTTCTCGTAACGTACATTAATCACTTGGATTTTTCAAACGAAAGACTGTCATGGTTACATGTTTTCGTATCTGGTTTGGTTGAAACATCCGTTTTTTTTTTATAACAGTTTTATTTACGCCTTAGCTGAGTTAAAAAGATGCTTTTTTTTACGAATTTAGGAAGTCAAGCGTTGTGCCAAAGGTCTGCCAGGTGGTGGCGAATTTAAAATTGCTGTAATTCATCTTTTCCACCTCTTTAAAGGGAGAATACATGAGATATAAAAATACGCAAGGGCAAGCTCATTAAAGAAAGATTTACTTACTTAATAACACTTGAATTTTATCGCCCATTTTAAAAATCGTGGTGGTGCACCGACCATACCCTTCTCCCCCACTTGACCGTTGTGTTGACCGTGGTAAACTGGACACTACTTCCATCCAAGATGGCGCCTTGTAGTGTACGAAAAGCCAGGAGGAAAGTAACCTGATGATATGCAGACCGACAGAGAATATCTCACCGAATGGCCTCCAGTAGAAGATAAAAGTGACATTAAAGAGTCAAAAAGGAGGAAAAGACCAAAACTTGAACGTGAGCAACGTGAAGGTGAAACATATCAAGTAGTCAGGGAGAATTCCTTGCGTGTGGAGGCTGAAAGTGAACGTGTTTTGTGGGTTCGTCCAGCTCTTGCAAGATGGTGGAGGAAAACACAACAACTTCGAAATGTACCAGATTTGAAGAAGCTTCCAAAATCAGATAATCCAAATACACTGTTGAGATATGTAGCCAGGTATGTAAGCTCATGATTGTGTCAGTAGTCACCAGGCATGACTATGACCCCCCTACTGGTTCAAAGGGGCAAAGGGGGAGTAATTTGAATCCAGGTAAATTGGTGCTTGGCCTTAATATCACTAGTCTTCTATCCCAGGACTAGTAGGAATTGGTTTACATGAAAGGGTCGCCCCATGTAAGACAATCTGGGTTCTGGAGTCTGGAAATTTTTTGCTAGTGGAATTCCCGAATCCTAGGCTTTATAGTCTGGAATTCAGCCAAAAGAATGTGAAATCCTACTGACTGTTGGAATCCAGAATTCAAGTTCCATTGACAAGGAATCTGGAGCCCAGTATCTGGATCCAGAATCCCAGACTATCTTGGATTACCTTTCATAGGACAATTGCTTAGGTGTGTAACTTGGAAATACATAAATGTATTGCTCAGGGGCATGCATTTATAAGGAAATAACCCTTATGAAAAAACCCAAACTGTGCTGAAGGCAACGTTCAATGTCTAAGATTACTATAGCACAGGTATAGTAATGGCGGTTATCATTGATGGTTTGCTTGCTCGAGATCGGGGCTAGAGTGGGATGGCTACCCAATGACACCATTTCATGATTAATTTTCAGATGTCAAAAGTCCATGGACTAGTTCGTTAGTCCCTAGGTATTGATAGAGTTCTACAAAAATAATATACTTATTTAAAGAAATTTTGTCACAAGATTTTTATCAAAATAAACACTTTTATTTCAACAGCCTCCCTGCAGGAAAAGCATTTTTAGAACAACAGATTTGTGCTTTAAAGGATAAGCTAGCTTTGGATCCTAAAAGTGCCTTTCTTCATGCTGCATTAGCATCATATCATGATCTGTTAAAAGACACATCCTCTGCTTTAAGACATCTGAACACTGCTGTTGAGCTGGATCCATTTGATAAGAATATAGCATGGCTGCATTTAAAAGTAAAGCGAGGGAAAGATCTAGAGGATAATCAATCATTACTTCAAGATCATTTTTTGAAACAATCTCCACGCGAGTTTAAGATGCCAAACCCAGTTAAGGTGAGTCAGAAACTAATGGCAGTACATTAGACTTTCTTACAGACATTTCTATAAGACGATCACCTCTGTAAAATGGACACCTAAGGTTGGTCCCTGCCTTTCTTTTCTCGCTCTATTTGACTCTCTATCAGATGGACACCTTGGTAAAACAGACACCTAGAATTGGTCCCTGCCTTTTTTTACTCCCTTTATTTGACTCTCTTTAAGACCGACACCTCGGTAAAACGGACACCTAGAGTTGGTCCCTGCCTTTCTTTACTCCCTTTATTTGACCCTCTATAAGACAGACATCTCTGTAAAACGGACACCTAGAGTTGGTCCCTGCCTTTCTTTACTCCCTTTATTTGACCCTCTATAAGACAGACACCTCTGTAAAATGGACACCTAGAGTTGGTCCCTGCCTTTCTTTACTCTCTTTATTTGACCCTCTATAAGACAGACACCTCTGTAAAATGGGCACCTAGAGTTGGTGCCTGCCTTTCTTTACTTCCTTTATTTGACTCTCTTTAAGACAGACTCTACTCTTAAATGGACACTTAGTGCCAGTTTCAAAGTTGACCATCTTAGAGAGAGTTGAATGTATTACCATAAAAATATTTTACTGTAGTCATGGGTAGGAACATAGTAATGCTTCTTAATGGTCCCAGTAAATTGTTTTTTGAAGCTACAATGTGCTGAGTGACAAATATCTTCATAAGTCTTCCTTAGAATGAAATTAATGATGTAATTCATTGATCACAAGCACATTAAAAGGTTGCAAAATTTGTAGAGATCACAAATTGTAAACCTTAAGCCCCAAGCAAACAGACACAACATTGTCGGCCAACAACTCCCAACATTGTTGGATGTTTGATGTTGCGTCCATTTGCACACCCTGTTGCGTGTTGTTGGGAGTTTTGTGCAAAGTTTGAAACTGGTCAACTTTTAGCCCTGTGCAAACAGTCTCAACATTGTTGGCCAACAACCAGGGCTGTTGTTAATTTTTAGAACAGCCGTAGGAAATAAAGATTCACCCGTAACATTTCCCTAAAACTTTTTAGTGTCACCTTTAGCTTTCCACTTTGATCACCTGTAAAATTAAAAGAGCTCAGCTGTACATAACAGGTGTTACGGGTTATGGTCTTTAATGACAGCTCTGAACATCCATTTGCATCCACAGACCCATTTGGCTAACTCAGTGTTGTACCCAATTCAAATTTCCCAGGGGTTAAGATTCTTTGTTTATTGTATTTGCATTATAATGTGGCATTCACATTTAAATGATCTGGAAATCCCTGAAACAAAGCGTTTTATTCCCAAAGGGTTTGAATTGGGTACAACATTGAGTTAGCCGAATAGGTCTATTTGCACTTAGCTTTAATCACTTTATTCATAGAAGAAGACATGGCTTCAATCACATTTCACATAAAAAGAGTAGAACTTCTCAGATAATGGCCTTTGCTTGTGCTGGGTGTAAATTCAAACCCATGATATCCAAAAGGGCTACCAATTTAGTGTTCTCCTTAACAGGGGGGAACTTGTAAAATGTATTGCTTTTAAAAGATTATATTACCTAGATTCACCAGGTTTAAAGCATTCCGTAAATCTTTTGCTAAAAGGTGGGGACAATTTTGGTTTGCCAATGGTATCAATCAGTTGCGTATTTTTACAGGTTCATTCATACAGTCATGTTAATATATAGCTGATGTTTGGAAGTCATCCATAAACATGTCATTGTTGTTTCCTGGCAAGACTAGCAGTGAGTAAGAACAACTTAGGACTTTATGGAGAAAATATTACAAAATGACCAGCTCATGGGGTTAAGCTTAACAAGGATTTAAGCCCTGAATGTGTTCTATAATAAAAACAAAATCTGTTAGTATTTCTGTGGAATGGTTTAGCTTTCTCTCTACTCAATGTACTCTGCTGACAGTTGGTAAGATGTCTAATTTCACAATAGTGTATCTCGTAGGTAGAACGACGTCATTGTACAACACTTGGGGCCAAGGAGTTTCTTGTTGAGTACAGTATGACTGGTACACCTGTTATCGTCACAGGACTTGTGGAATCCATGACTACTGTACCATGGAGCATTCAACACATAAAAGAAGTAGGTGATGCATTCTATCAGTTTTACAATGCAAAATATAACATTATTTTACTTGTGATCTAAGTGGCAAATTTACCTGTAGGATCTAGGAGAGGTGGTCAAGAGTTATCAGCATCAACTTTCTCCTTGCAATGTACAAACTTAATCAAGAGAACAGGTTATGGGAATTTAAAAGGATAAAAAGAAAATAATGTTTTAATCTTTCTCAAATTGTCTCCACAAAATAATAATTCAAGGAAATGTATGGAAATCACTCTGGAGAATTTGTAGTTAGAAACTGGGGCTGTGAGGGTTAAAGAGTTTTCATTTATTGATCTCTTCCTTGAATGACTTAGTTGTAAATATCTAATTTGAAAAATTAATATGGCTATAGTGCGAAACAAAAACAAACAAAGAGGAAAGGTAGTCACTTATGAGCTATGCTGCACCTGTTCAGCCTTAATCACAGGTAACCCAAAGCATATTTTTTCTTTTTCACTGGTCATTCACAAGGCTTCACTTCAGTGAATGCGTGGGTTTATTAGGTTTCAGAGATTTCTATACCAAAAAAGACAAAATGCTTTCCACCAAAAAGTATTTAAAATGATTTACATGTTACAGCCTTCTGTAATTTTGAAATTAAATTTCACTCTTAAAAAATCACATCAAAGTAGATGATATACATGATAAAAAAAACATAACAAACACAATAAGTTAACAATATTATTAACTCTCCAAAGCAACTTTGGCATCTATCTCCTTGATTACGTGATTAAAATTAGTAAAATGTGTCACGCAAGATCGTCCAAGGCTCCTGTCACGCGACTCATAAGCAACGAAGTCTTTTCCATAAACTAGAGTTTTTTCTTTTCCTCGGAAACTTCTACCCCCCATCTTCTTATGGCCACCCACTCCCCAATAAGGTAAAGAAACAACACAAATGAAACAGCACTAGCGAAAAATGCGGCAATAGAAACCGCACTCATCTTTTCCAAGAACGGATACACCCAGATGCCAGCAGCGAAAGCGATCCACAGAACCCAGGCTATGTAAACTACACCAATTCCTAGAACGGACAGCAATCCTTTCTTTCTTGGCGGGTACTTGTGCCGAATAAAGCACAGCTCAAAAATCGCTGATACGAACGGGAAAGTGTGCATGTAATGATTGAGCAACGCGGGAATGAACTTCGCTTCCTCTTTCGTTTGGCACGAATGTGGGTCGGCCATGTACAAGGCCCAGAACAATATACTCACAGTAAGTCCAAAAGGAAATGCGACACAGGTAAATGTATAATCGCAGACTGACGAGAACACTTCGTTTTTTCGCTTCTTCATTAGTTCATGAATTCCCGTGACGGCCGCCATATTGAAGTACAGAAACTGTACCAGCATGTTTATAAATGTCAAGAACTTGAATCTTCCACCATACGTTCCATGACTTTGCAGCTTAATCTCGGACAGATAATATGTCACACCGATCAAATGTATGAGGAAGCAGAGGTAGTGAAATGCAAGCGTTCCCCATTCGGCCATACTTTTACTTTCGTGTCACTAGGCGTGGACGGACGCTGTACACATGTATCGATGCTAAGGAGTTACGCACCCAGCACGGGCAAGCGGAAGCAGAGCAAACGTCAAGTGAAGACGTATGGGATCAGTTTATTCTATTTTTTTCTACTGAACAAGTGTGAAAAATCCCCTGCACAAAACTTGTAAAATATACCTTGTTAAAATGGAATCAAGGAAACAGGAGACTGCTGTTTGGTGCATGAAGAATTTGGAGGGTGCTTGATTGTTTGTGGTGGGGGAGGGGTGCATAAGCCCCCCCCCCCCAAAAAAAAAAAAAAAAAAGCAGGGGGGGGGTTGCTCCCCCAGCTGCATCGTGGGTGGGGTGGGGTGGTAAGGGCGGTAGTTTTTTGTAGCCGCTCCAGTGGAAGTTTGGGTGGTGGGTTTTTTTTTATTCTTGTGTGTTTTTACTGTTGAAAAAGGTGGAAAAATCCCCTGACCAAAACTTGTAAAAAAAAACTTTTTAAAAAGGAATCAGGGAAAACGGGAGCGTGTGGTTTGGGGTATAGAAATTTGGGGGGGGGTTGGTTTTTTGGGGGGGGGGGGGGGGGTAATAGCCCCCCCCCCCCAAAAAAAAAAAAAAAAAATAGCAGGGGTGGAGTTGCTCCCCTAGCTGCATAGCTGGTGGGATGAGCGGGTAAGTGCTGTAGTTTTTTGCAGCAGAGCCACGTGAAGTTTGGGAGCTAGTCATATTTTTATCCTGAGTGGACTTAACCAGAGTTAAGTTTCGTATGTGGCACAGGTTAGGAACCTGATTAACTTGCTGCATGTAGTTGTTTTGTCCGTAGTGTGTATGATGATTCTCTGTTATGTTTAGCCACACTTGGTTCATTTGCAGGACAGTTTACTATTACACTGCTCTTCCTGATTGGATAATCAAGGTGATAAAAGTGGGTGGAATTCAAAACCTCTAAGAAATGTGGCAGGTGGGATTTTCCCTCGTGGCATCACTGCTTGCTTTGCACAGTGTTTCTGCCACCAAGAAAGCACCCCCGGTATAACAACCCCATCAGCTACGCAGGCCATTGCTTTCCTAATGGCTGAAGGATTTGCATTCTAAGTCACTATTTTGTTAATGTACAATACGGTTTCTACTTTCACAGGTTGTAGGTCACAAACAAGCTCCTCTGAAAAGAACAGTCAAAGAATCTACAGAATGGGCAAAACTTGAACATGCTTGCTACATGGAAGTGTCTGACTTCATCAGCTCACTGGGGTCATTAGAAGAACCTCTTTACCTATTTGACTGGAGTATACCAACACATGCACCTGAACTGGCTAGAGAATTAGTTATTCCTAAATACTTTGCCAGTGATTTCTTACAAAGAACAGCACCTGGCTCCCTGTACAAAGATAGTTGGCCAAGCTTATTTATTGCACCTAAAGGGTTACACAGTGATCTGCACATTGATGCATTTGGTTCCAACTTTTGGATGGCTCTTTTTCAAGGCAGGAAAAGGTAAGCAAGTTTGTGATATGCAAGCTCTAGGTATTCTCAAAGCTGACCAAGTGCCATCTCTAATTCTCTGTTCTTTGCAAACAAACTTAATACCTCCCTTGAAAACCAAGTAGCCCTGAACATTCAATGAAATTGACTTTTTTTAGTGCCTCAATAGAACATAAAATTATTAAAGGGAATTCTGAGACATGAGCCCAGTCAACCGTAAGCCTATACTAGAAAATGATCACACTCTTTCCGGATCTGGTTGCACTTGAAATAAACCACCACCTTGGTTTCAAATGTTTTTGGTGGTTGCACTTCTATTATCTTGATGGTTATCTATAATATTATGATGGTCAATAATTGACCATCATAATATTATAGATAATAATTAATTTATAAATTATTTATAAATTAAAATTTTATTTTTGGTAGGTGGACTTTCTTCAGCAGAGATGACACACCATTACTGTATCCACATTATGAAGACTCAATGGACATTGTGTTTGATGTCGACCTGAGTTGTCCAGACTTTGAAAAACATCCCTTATTGAGCAGGACAACCCCGTTACAATGTACATTGCAGCCTGGAGAACTTCTTTTTGTTCCTTATGGCTGCCCACACAGAGTGGAAAACCTGGAGGATTCCTTAGCCATGTCTGCTAATTTTGTCGATTTATCAAATTTTCAAGTTGTTCTTGAGGAACTGAGGGCAAATTCTTTGTTAGATCCTCGAGCAGAAGACCTTTTAACTCAAATGACGAATCAGGACTTTCCTGTAAAAATGCATAGTCAGCAAAATGATCTGCCTTGGGATGAATTTAAGACATGGCCAAGACCTTCATACAAAGAGTATGATATTAACATCACTGATTTAATGTGAAAAAAATCTGCATGCTAAATTTTAAGAAGGCAATAATGATACTGTAATACTGTAATAACTACTAAAAACAAGAGATGTTTACCTTACCATAAAAAAGATCTAAGCAGACAAAGATACACTGACGTCAGTTCATGTTTTCAATAAAGCTCTCAAACGAAAGAAATGACTGGCTCCAAAATATAAATAATGATTGTTAGCTAAGCTTCATAATATTATCTTGAAGAAAGCTCAGTGAGTACCATATAAATAACTAATACTGATCAAGGTTCTGTTAGGGTCTGGCTAAAATAGGAAACATTTGTGTTAGAAGCGAATTTTGCATCCAAGAAGCACGAATATTCTTTACCACTTAATTCAGTACAGTATTAGAATCCAGGTAGCCAGTGAACAGAGGCTTCCTTTTTCGGAATAAGCACTGTCCTGCAAAAGTTGCCTCTACTGACAATTGTCCCATTTCTATTGTACATGCCCAAGTTCCCTCAAGTGATCTTCAAACATAATGGTGCATACTATGCTGTGTTTTTTTGTGCAGCATTAGCTTGATCTGGTATGGATACAATTCCTCTGAAATGCAAATGGCTGTGAATGAAGATGGGGTTTTCAACTGCTTGAAACACAAATTGCTAAAGTACATTGACCTAAAAAGTTTTGCATTCTACTTAGGGCTGGAAAGTAAGAGGATGAGGTAGCAACCTTGTTATTGTTATTGTGATAAGTCAGTGGGAAATCTCACAAAGCTTGTGGACCAGGAAACACACATGAGCAGATCAAACAGTTACAATGTCCAAACCATTGTAAGGCCCTCTTGGAGAAGGGGGCGGGGGGGGGGGGAAGTTTTGCCCCAAGTCGAATTTCAAATACCGCCATTTTGGGGTTTTGGAAATAGGCCCATGCCCTGGGGTGATTTTACCCCTTTTTTTGTTGGTTTTTTCCCTTTCCACTCTCATTTTATTTTTTTTTTTGCTTTTTATAGCCATTTTTTTTTTACGGATTTTTCCCTTACAAAAACTTTATTTTGTTTGCATTCCGGGAGGGGAATGGGTGTGTGGCGTTAAGAAAATAATATAAAGAAAGATGAATATATGTGTTTGTTGTTACGGTGAAGAGGGTGAAAAAAGGGTGTGGAGTGTGTTATATGTTTTTTTTGTTAGAAGAACAAGTAGTGGAAAACCAAAAAACAGAAGGGAAAAAAAAAAAAAAAAAAAAAAAGAAAAAAATAAAAACGCGCCACGGATTGGGTGCGGGGGTGGGGGGGGGGGGGGGGGGGGGGGGGTACGTTTGTCCCTAGTCTGAATTTCAAATACGACCATTTTGAGTTTTGAGAAGTAGGCCATGACCTCGGTGGTATTTAACCCATCTTTACGTCGTTTGTTGCCATTTCATCTACAATTGTAGTCTTGTGTTGCTATTTTAAGACAATGTTGTTTGTCAGATTTGTACCCTTAACAAAGCTTCATTTGTCTGCATTCCAGGATGGGAATGGGCTGTTGTCAGTAGAGGCTACTTTTTGCACACAAGAACTTATCATGAAAAAGGTAGCCTGCGAGCAAGCTCTCCGGGGTGACCTGGTGGTGGGGCGGGAAAAGGAAGGAGAGCTTGCAACTACGTTTCTGGAATTTGAATATCTGCATTGAAAAAGTCAATGTGAAATACTGATTGGCGTAGATGATATTAGTAATGACATTTTTCAATTCCTGCTCATTTCCACCTTGCGCTGATTGGCAGCAATCTGACAGCTCCTTCGACGGGGAGCCACAGGGGAATTGGGGGTGGAATTCAAATTCCAGAGACGTACTTGCAATTAACTCTCCTTCCTTTTCCCACCCTGCCGCCAGAGCTTGCTCGCAGGCTATGAAAAAGGAGCCTCTGCTCGCTGGGTCAAATATAGAAAGCAAAAAATACAATTTGGATTAGTAACATTTGTTTTTGCTGTAACTGAACTAAGAAACATTATAGCATTTCAGCAACATTGCTTCCTTGTAAAATTAGTAGCCAGGCCATAATTTTCAGTTACCATGATAATAATTAAACAAAAGTCAACGTCCTTAATATATATATTGTTCTTTTTCATCTAAACCCTATTAAGGCTACAACTCACACTATATTCTCATCATGTTTACGTTGTAGTTCAAATCTCAAATCCAGGATTTCCTTTGTTTAATCTGACCTGCCAGCCAATCTAGTCCTTCATATAAACCTTCTCCTTTGACAGCACAGGAAGACTGGACAAACCATGGTCTGTTTCGAGTGTTTACCAAACCAAGCTTTTCCCGGACCTCAGAAGCGCTCATTGCATCAGGCATGTCTTGTTTATTTGCAAATACAAGCAGCACAACATTTGCAAGGAGCTCCTCGCTCAAAAGCTTTTGCAACTCTAATCTTGCTTCTTCGATTCTCTCTTTGTCAGCGCTGTCTACAACAAAGATAAGCCCTTGTGTCCCCTGGAAGTAAACTCTCCAGAGATTTCTGATCTTGTCTTGCCCGCCAATATCCCAAACTGTAAAACTTATATTCTTGTAAGTAACGGTTTCCACGTTGAATCCTAATGTGGGGACCGTTGAGACAACCTCTTCGAGTTTTAGACGATACAAAATGGTCGTTTTTCCGGCGTTGTCCAAGCCAACCATTAGGATGCGAACATCTTCTTTGCCCAGAAGACGATTAAAAAGATACGAGAACGTACTTCCCATGTCTGTGAAAAACAGAATCTTTCTATTTTACAGGTTGTACAAAAATGAGTTGCTGGTGGCGAAGTTGACACATCACAACATTTTAGTTTGGTACGTTATGTAGTAGATGATAGAGTATAGCGTAGTCCGCTGTACAAGGAGCGTGTGCTCATGTAAAATGGCGGCTGTAGTTTTGAGGAGGGATGTTGCAAAATCTTGTCTCTTTTCGTTTTTAAGACCCCAAATAACTACGAGAACCACCTATCACATTTGCTGTAGACAACAGTGTTTACAAAGAAATTTTTATTCAGGTATGGTGTGGTCTTAAGACTTGTCTATTCTTCAAACCCAAAAAGTAACAAAAATTTTATAATTAACCCATACGGTAAGCTTATTTTCAAGCTTATTGAGAAACGTACTTAGAGGGAAGTTAATTTACGGATACTAGCTCTTCTCCCCTCACCTAGTAGAACAGTTGGGGGTGGAGGGCATCAACCCCCACCCCCCTTGGTAGGGGGCACAGCCTTGAGTTTTGCAAGTGCTCATACAACCCAGGCATCAAACTATTCCTGATTCAATATTTTTTCCTTGTTTTTTTCTTTTTTTAAGGAGGAACTTTTTTCACCAAGTTACCACTTGTGCATCACGAAGGCTTCAGTTGCCAGTGGCCAGAAAAACACAGATTTAAAATGGCAAAGTTTGTTAAAGTAATGGAATGGATTGTCAAAGACAAACTATTAGACTCAGTACAAGTCTTTCAGCCCACAGAACCTTGTTATGAGGCAGTTACACGGGTTCACACTAAAGACTTTGTGGATAGTTTTATCAAAGGAAGTCTTCCCTTTGATGCAATGCGGAAAACAGGATTTCACTGGTCTGAAGGCCTAGTGAAAAGATGTTTTCTAGAAGTGGGTATGTAATTTTTTGAAGATGGTGAAATTGAGTTTTTCCCACATATATGTGAATATGTGTGGGACAAAGGAAAAAATGTTGAGTTCGTGACAGGATTTGAACTTACGACATGCCGAGCACCAGACAGGAACTCTATCCTCTGAGCTATGAAGACTCATGAAAACCAGGGCTATATGCTACGTTCATAGTTCACACATGCCCTGCATACTGCAAGGATCAGCAATGTCTATAGCATACTGAATGAAATGGAGAAAGATTGTGAATTTTAAGGTCGGTGACTGAATGTGAAAGTTGTGATAATCAGCATATCACGAGCATGGGACAAAGAGAAAATCTAGAGTCCTTTGCAGGAATCAAACCAGAAGGAACTCCTGAACACGTCATAGGTGCTGCCCCAGAGGGGAGGGGGAACTCAAGGAAGTTAACTTCAGGGAGGCTCTGCCCTGAGGTCCAACTCCCATAGCCTTTTATATGCCACTTTTGACAGGAAAGGTAGTTCATAGCCTGCATAGCAGGCATTGAAAGGGGTTAGGGTATTGGGAGGAAGGAAAAAAGGGAGGGGATTGGGAAGAGAGGGTAAGGGACGCCTGCTCTAAGAACCCTCTTTTGCTCATTTCTGAATTCCTGGTTAGCTGAGCCATAATGGGTAACTCATTGACATGTATTAGAAACCAAAATTGCAGATTTTCCTACCCTTTGACATACTTCAACCAGTGAAATTCCTTCCCTTTTATATACCTGTATCCCCCTACTGCTGCACCCATTTGTAACTTATAGATGTAGTTGGAACCTCAGTGATTTTCTAGTTAGAGCCAAACTTTGCAATCTTACACAACACAGCACCAACATATCGGATGGACAAACCTCAAGCACATTCCACTCTACAGGTGAAACCAGATCTATCACCCATCACATCAACTGCAACTCTAGAAACATTACTTACATGGTGCAGTGCAACTGCTGCTTTAAACAGCACATTAGAGAAACTAAACAATGACTTAAGGCCTGTTTACATGGAGTTAGGGGACCCTAGGTAGGTCCGATAACCCACATCCAGGGGTACACTTTCTCATAATTATTGAATGGTTGCTGAGCATGTAAACTAAAAAATACCAGGCAAGTGACATGTTTTGGTGGTTAATTTTCTTCTACTCTCACTCTAAAACTTGCTCTTGCTACAACCTTTCAGTGTGGTGCCTTTGTATTATCACTCTTAATAATGCAGATCCTCCACCAAAGACAGTTAGTTGTGCAGTCAACAAATTTGATGTGACACGTATCCAAACTAGGCAGGTTAACTAGCCTTGAAACTTTTACATGGCCAAATTTGACCCTGACTAAGAGGGTAACCTGGTCTGGCAGACTACGCAACCCACCTCTGCGGGTCTCGCGACCTATCATGTGCACATGATCAGGTGTGGACAGGCAGGCTACCCAACCTAAGTGGGTTACCTTACCTACCTGGGGCTGACACCTCCATGTAAACAGGCCCTTAAAATACCATTTCAAGGAACACTGTAGACCATTTGACAACCCATCTAATATCTCCAAACCCACCACTGTCTTAGAACATTTTCTTACTAATGATCATTCTGCTAACAACATTACACTCATTCCACTCAAATTTATTAAATGGAATGGAGACTGTGTGCAAAAAACTTGAGAAGCATACCTCATTGAGAGAGGCAAAACTCTTGAACCTTTAGGTATTAAAAAGAAGGATAAGATGTAATACATCCCTTCAGTTTGTGTTTATTTATACTATTTTTATATTTCATCCTTATTTAAAATTGCAACGTCTTAGCCAGTTTACCTAGTCATTTGTTCATAAGACCTTGAAAAAGAAAGGCTGTGCCTTTCGAAATACTGGCAACATAAAAAATCTATATATTTCCAACTGTAAAATCAGCCTTGCTCTTGTCATTACGTCATGGTTCCCCTTTCAGGTGGACCTTCCCCTTTGGGGAGTGGTACAGAGAGACTTATGGATAGCAAGACCATAAACTAGGCTCATATTTGACACGCATAATGAATAATGCTTTTTGTTTCTCCATTGAAGGTGGTACTATACTTGCAGCTAAACTAGCCATGGAGTATGGACTTGCTTGTAGCACAGGCGGAGGTACTCATCATGCATTCCCTAGTCATGGCTCTGGTTTTTGTATGTTAAACGATCTTGCCATCGCTGCTCAGGATATGATTGACAGCAATGTAGTTAAAAAAGTTCTTATTGTGGACCTAGATGTACATCAGGTAAATTAACGCTCCATGAAATTAAGATATTGGAAATTAATGCGACTCAAATCAACGCCAATTGTGTGGAAATGACTTTTGAATAAAGTAAATTAACGAGAAAGACTGGGAAACATTTCAAAGTGAGTTAATTTAAGCATCGTTCACAAACAAACAAAACTTGATGAGACAGTAGGAACAAAGTTAAAGTAATCTGAAATGGAAACTTTGTTCGTGGTTCTTTCCCTAAACGTCCAAAAGGGATCAAGCGAAGAAATCTGGCCACTTTTAAGGGTTCTTCACAGTTTTACTGATACTTTCGGATCTTTACCCTGTTAAAATACTTCTCTTTCTTCGGTGTAGAGGATGTCAAAACTGTATCGAGAATTTGGGGCTAAAATAATGGGAGTTATGGTCGCGGAAGTTAATGAAAAATTCGCGTTAATTTCCTATAATAAGGTGTAGACACATTGTGTATAAGCTGGAAAGAAACGGATCAAAATGTACCACTCACTTTAAGAGTGTTCACAGCCAATAACATTATGCGTTGACCTCATTAACCAGTCAGGTCAATAACATTAGTTTTAATAATGAAGATACACAACTCAATTTGACTCTGAAGAAGACTAAAAAATCCGGTCACTGTCAACAACAGTAACCCCCTACCGTAGAAACTCGGTAACTCGAACTCTGAAGGGAGGTAAAAACCAGTTCGATTTAGGGAGGGGTAGCAGGGGCGTATCCAGGGGAGGAGCCCTGAGTAGGCATTTTTCATTTTTTTAAAACGTGACCTGTTTGTTTCACCAATTGAAATCAAATTACTACAGTGCCGAGCACTGTGACCGATGTTAGTTTAATTTGTTGCTTTTACCCTTATACAACAAAAAGAGCTAATGGGATAGCATCCGAGTGGAGTGGAGAACCAGAGTTGGAGTTGTTCGGGTAAATTGCAGTGAATTTTTGATCAAGGGAACGGAAATTTAGTTATAGTTAGCGGGAAATTCGAGTTAACCGAGTAAAAATGACTGAAAAACAGGGTTAAATCCAAGGGAAATTGGTCCTAGTTCGAGTTATCCCAGTTTTATTGTATTACTATCGATTTTAAAAGTAGTGAAAGTACTTCATAGCTGTTTTAAATTTTCTGATTTTTTTAGCGTTGTCCTGTTTCTTCAGGGAGATGGTACGGCTTTTATCTTCAAGAACAATGATTCAGTCTTCACATTTTCCATGCATTGTGAGAAGAACTTTCCTCTTAGAAAACAGCAAAGTGATTTAGACGTTGGTCTAGAATGCGGCTTGAATGACAAACAGTATCTGAACACAGTCAAGGATTATTTACCGTGGCTTCTTGATTTATTTAATCCTGATCTTGTGTTGTATGACGCTGGAGTAGATCCGCATCAAGATGATGCCCTGGGGAAACTTAATCTCACAGATCAAGGTACAGTCAAGGAACGTTCAATTAGCAATAGATCGCTTCAGTATTTGGGCGTTGGTGTTGCCCGATTTATGGTAGACGATTCCCTATAGACTCGGCTCTTACATGGGATGTTGTGTATAGGGACATATATGTTGAGACCAGGAACAGTAGAACGCGCGGAAACACCCCCCAACAACCCCGGAACAATTCGGAAAACCGGCAAATAAAATCAGAAACCTGAACACAGTCTGTAAGTCATTTAAAACGTTCTTTCTGTTCCAGTTCGGTTTCATCTTTTGAATCGTTCCAGACTGTTCTTTGTTCCGATTTTTAGCACTTGTGATGTGTAGATGGGAGGTCAACTAGCTGGAGATTTGTCACAAGAGAAGAGATGATTGTACTTTTAGAAGTGTCAAATACTTATTACCTTATATAACAGTCCCAAACACAGCCAGTTGCAAGGTGTATCAAAGCCCTGTTTGATAATCCATTTATGAGGCAGCAGGGGTAGCTCCTAAAAAGACTCTGATGCTGTTTCGGTGGAGGTATAAAAAAAAGGTGTGTTTTTAAACTCAGTTGATAAAGTCAACCTTGCTACTGAAAGAGTGATCCAAAGCAAATTATTTGAATGTCTTTTTGTTGGCAAATTTTACTGTATAGACTCAGTTGACAAAACTAAGTTATTGTATTTATGTGCTAGGACTGTTTGAACGTGATGTGACTGTCTTACAATCGATTTTGAAAAGGGGAATTCCCTGCGCTACTGTGATTGGTGGAGGCTATGATGACGACATCGAAGTTCTTAGCAGACGGCACTCCATCATTCATAGGGCAGCAATTAAGGTGGGTGTGACGTACCCTGCGAGCGAGCGACGCTACCTGCGAGAGAACGCGCGTGCTGTTCTCGCGTGACTACTCGCGACTTGCCCAAATGGAGAGCTTACTCGCAAAGAACATAATCAACAGGAACTTGAAGGGGCAATCTGTAAAGCGCGGCCTGAAAACTTCCACTCTATTACAATGGGCTGGCGTTTGCAACGTCATCTCTAGCATCTTTTTACGGAAACCACAAATTTTTGTGTAACTGCTAGCTACTGCTAAGGGCTGAAAATGAGCTTGCGTAGTTGATGGTTAAAAAAAGGCAGCCAGCAGGTTTGTTTTGATTAATAGCAGCTCTTCCTACAAGTATTCACAGCCTCTTTTATAGAGCCACACCAAACACCAGTCAGTAGACATCTAGTATCAAATCGAAAATCACCCTGGAACTTCCTTTTAGAAAGCTTAGCTTTAGTACTTTCTTATGAACTGAATTTAACTTTCGGTTCAAAATACTTCGCAGAAAGACCCTGCAATGTACAGTTTGCTTGTTTATCCAAGCTCAGGTAAGGATTATGGCGCCCGTAATTTATCCGGCAAAACAATTGCAAAGTTTTTAACTGATCCAGGATTTTATCCACTTTCAGGTTTGGAATGACAGGAATCTCTGAGATCTGAACGTAGCACTCAGCTTTTCTGAAATGAACCCTTTGAGGGATAGAACTGAGGAGAGTACGGTAAAACAGCATATTTTGAGATCGCACCATTTGCAAAGCGCAACCTGTTCCAAATCGTCTCTTCAAGTAAGGACCGTTCCTCTAGAATAAGGGAGCGTGATAAACAGGAAAGATCAAGAAAAATGTGGCACTAATAACTGAATGACTAACCTTCTGTTGGAAGCCACATGGACCCAAGAAGATAGTATTACATCTATTTCACCAGAATCGTGAAAAGTGGGTATAAAGGGGGGATCACCAAAAAAAATCCTTCAATTAGCGTTTGCCTAGTGCTGTGTATTGTTTACCAAGAAATGATATTTTGAGTAGTGTAGTGACTGTCGTAGTATTCAATAATGTTTTGTTTCTTCAACCTCCGGGCAGGCACAGACCGTTTTAAAGCAATAGAGCTACACAAATCTGGCATCAGGTGTCTCTTTTTCCGACACTTATCATTCGTTTGCGCGCCATCATATGTACAGACCAAATAAAAATAACATTTCCCTCCTCACTTGGTTATCATCTAATACAGTAAATATTTAGTATAAAATAACTAAGTTTGCTATTATTTGAAGCTCAGAAAGTTTCTCTTGCGGTTCTTGTTGTTAAAAAACATTCCTTTGCAACGTCAGCTACAACTCCCTTGTTCTTCTCCGTCTTCCTTTTTTTTGTGGGGGGGGGACATATCAATTATTTTCGGATAGTTAATTGGAAATAGTTGATATACTATTTATTGTATAAGACTCCAAATATATTAAACATGTATTTATGTATGTATGGATAGACGGGGGCCACCTAAAAAACTTCTGATGAAGAGAGGGCGTCATCATATTCAACAGGAGCTACCCGTCAAATTCCACCCCCACACCCCCCCCACCCCCACACCACCCCACCCCACCCACCCCCCCCCCCCCCCCCTCACCCAACTCAAACAAACCACACACTACCACACGCATCTCTACAATCTGATACTCTCCAACACTATACACTTATGCTAATTACTGTGTAAGAGACCAAAATGTTAATGCATTTGTTTATGGCTGGATGGGAAGGGGGCGGCCACCTAAAAAACTACTGAGGAAGAGGGGGCGTGACCTGATTCAACAGGAGCTGCCCGTTACATTCCCCCACCCCCCCCCCCCCCAGAATAAATGAACGGTTCCTAATCAAGCGCTTACCCCCTTTGCTAAACAAAAAGCTGCATGCCTGTGTGTATGCAGTTTTCATTTTAAGCCTCTCCAACAGTAAAAATGAGTTTTTCCGGAAACCCCCTTTCTGCCTCTTAAATTTCAAAGAATGACTGTTTACCGATTTAAAAACATTTCCTTAAAAACACTTCATATTCTTTCATTCCATATTTTCTTCAAAATTGTATTTCAATTACTGTACAGCTAAGTTGTTCGTACATTGGAGATCTTATCGATAAACTTCCTTTTTAGCAATTTTTATTGGCAAAAAGTACACACTTAACTTACTTTACATCCGCCATGACAAAATGCAAGTATGTTGACGGGGTGGGACGAATGCTCGCAAAGCAAAAACCACTCCATGTAATTATAAACAAAAATTCCAGTGTTAAAGGTGAGTCACGATCGAGTGACGTCACCGGCACATTTCTTTGCACGTGTTTCGCACGTGTTGATGTCACTACGCCTTCGACGGATTTGAGTGGGCTGTTTGTCTCCTAGTGACACCTGGGTTTGTAGTGTTCGCGCCACAGCGATTCCTATTTGTTAGACTCTGAAGTGCACCGTACGCACTCTTGTGTATCCCGTACGAAAGCGAGGAGGGGCCATCGAAAAGACTGTCATAACCACAGCGTACTCATTGAGCAGCGAATACATTGTTACATTGTGCAAACAACAGGTTTCATAACGCATTATCAATCTCATTTCAAATAAAAAAAATCCTTTTTCTACTCTACGTCTAGTTTGTCTGTAGGCGTCTATCTCGTTCTCGGTTGAAGATTTTGTCCAAGGGTGTAGGGCTTGCAGAAATCAGGCGTGAATGGAATGCAGTTTAAGAACTCACAGCCGTCACAACTAGACCCCTGATAGATGTAAAAAACTAAAAATCCTACGACATACAGCGTAATAACCAGCGCAAAACACACAACTATCTGAATCTGCTTCCGTCGTCTGTCAAACTCGCCAAATGATACGTAAGGAAGAAAGATAAAGGCCAACAGAAATCCAAACACAAAACCGATCATATGGGCGAAGTTGTCGACGTAAGGTAGAAGACCTATGACCAGGAGGAGCAAGACTAATCCACAGAGTTTGAGTAGAGCTGTTACTGGTCTGGCTATGATCTGCCAACTTTGAAATAACTCCACAAACAGACAGGCGATTACACCAAAGATGGAGCCTGAAGGGCCGACCTGCAAAAATAAAAAGGCTTTTAAGTGGGGCAAGGTCCTGTGCAGCCCATTCACCGCTTTAGAAACGAGCAGGGGACTGGAGCCAAAATACGTCCCGCAATTGTTTAGGGGATCGTTACAGGACAAGCGCCGGTCAGTCATTGGCTAATGTCCCAAGTAACTGTCCCAGAAGTCTTTGCGAAAGGTCACTCGCCCCAGTTTCCCTCTCGTTTCTTAAATGGCGAATATTCGGCAAAGGCAAAAGCGATGGAGTCGACGAATTAAGCGCAAAAAAGAAAAACAATCCAAAGGACGAAAATTATTACCTCAGCCTGGTACGGGAGAAGTATTCCACTGTAAAGATAGCCGCCAATCCCGCTAAATATATAGATGATGGCCATGCGAAGCCAGCCGGCCATCTTTTCCATGTCGCGCATGATGGTAAAGTGAAAGATCAAAGTGCAGCAAAGATGAATTATCCTAAAACAAAGGAAAGAATAATAGTAGCACAAATCAGAGTGAAAAAAAATTGTTATGCAACATATTTCTTTTTTCCCTTGATGGGAGTTCAAACAACAGTGTTGTGAACTATCTCTAACGTGGTCACCCCTAGAAAATACTCAACAGGTTCTAATCTTCAAGAAAATTTCGCTCTTTTTAGGCAAACATTTACAATTGTGTGCACAGTAAGTGTCAAAATTACCCTGCATGAGCAAAGATTGCCATCCAAAGACGATAAACTTGGTCAGGCTTATCCTTGCGATGAAAATCCAACATTCCACAGGTGTCGCTAATGCAATCCACCTGAAAGAGAGAGACAACATTCTCATAAGCACGGTCGGGTGGGTGATACTAAAACAGGGGAAAGAGGGGAGGGAGGGGTGGGAAAACGGGAACAAAATAGAGAATAGGTAATGAGGTTGGGGGACAAGGTTAATGTTACATCTTGTTCCCGTTTTTCTTTTTTCCGTTCCCCGTGCTCGCCTCGCGAATCGAATTTGCTGTTTTCTGCCAGCGACAAATCTTACTGAACTGATGGCAATAATATTGGAGGCTTTTTACATGCGGGCGATTTTCGAGTTGCAACCTAATTGTAGTTCCCGTCGCGAGACAAATTACGCAATAAAATCGCCCGTGTAAACGTAGCTAGGAATTTCGAGGACAGGCACGCACGCACGAGAAGAAGCCTCCTTCCGCCCTGCTCTTCCCTGCGCGTGTTGCCGCCTTCACGCGCTCTGAAAAACTCACCAAAAGAAGTAACCGGCGCCCGACTAGCAGGCTAGTGTAAACAAGCCTTAATGAGCAAACCAACTTGGCACGTGCAGCACACTTTTTGGTAAAGTTCTTAACACCGCAGCACTATTATCACAGCAGCAAGTTTTCCTTGAAAAAGAAACCTCCCTCATATAAAAGGAGCTTTGTGGAGGAGGTGGACACGCAACGACGAGTTCTCCGGACGACAATTTTTATCCACCACATGAGAAGTCTTGATGGGGTGGTGGCTTTAGAGTTTCATAAATGTTCGCGTTGTGCCGTCGTTTTGCAAGCTCACTATTCAACGTGAAAAAGGATTATTTTTTACGTAAACAACCAATGGAAAACGTGAGTATCATTAACATCATTAGCACTATTTCATTTATTTTTTGTTACGATATGAAGAAAAATTGTTGAAAAGCTTACTAAGTGAAGGAAATCTGCAGGCGGTTTCAATGACAAAGTTGACAAGAAATATTAAGGACGTTTTTTGAAAACCGTTGTTGGTTTTCAAACGTTATCAATCGTATGCTTCAAATGTTGTTTAATTCCTACTGTATGTAAAATAATTTGTTCGTGTTATACGCAATCTAATATATAGATTTAGCCAGGGCTAAAAGCGAAGCTGTCGATAATATGTATAGTTTGCTCAAACAAAATATAAAATCGTGTAATGCTAGCGGCGAAGGTAACGAGAACGGTGAAAAAACAACAATAGGTCTAATTAGCAAAAAAGCAACTTTGCACGTGCAGCACACTTTTTTGTACATTTCTTTGCCGTTGTTTTGCACGACTACATCGTGAAACTTCGAGAAACTTCCTGGTTACACGTTTTAGGGAGGAAATGTCGTACGTGTTCTTGTTCACTTTGTTTTTTCACTGCCGCTCATTTTCATCTTGGTGGCCGCTAGCATTTCTCATTTTCTCCCTGCCGCTACAAAAAATTCATGTTGTTCTTCCAACAATAAATAGGGCAATTTATACGAGGAAAAATAAGACGCGAACTTTCCGTATAAACGGCACATTTCGTCTAAAATAAGACGCGACTTAGCTAACACGCGTCTTATTTTAGAACAGCCCTTAACACCTGTTCTTAGATAAGACGCGTCTTCGCGTCTTACATAAGACGCGAACGCATAGTACGCATGCGTTAATTTTTGGCGGGAAAATTATCGCTTGCCCCGCGGTGGACTGGCAGGCCACTGGCGGGGAAAAATTGTCTACAAATTACAACGCGTTTTCGTGTCCTTGTCTATTCTGCTTTATTTTTTCTTCTCTCAAATACAATGAACACGCCGTTAAAGGCAAAAAGAAATACTTGGTCCATCGCCGAGGAAAAATATTTTTTGCTATTATGTAAGGAGAAGGCGATAACAGACCTCCTGGACAAATGAATGACATCTGCTGGTGTAAGTAGACCCTTTTAACTTTAAACTATCACAAGTTATAATTACTAATCAAATTGCTATCTTCGTATTATAAACTTTACACTTTAAAAGTAAGTTTAAGTATACAGAAGACTTAGATAAGACATGCTCGTATAAATGGTCCACTTCGCGTCTTATTTTTCCTCGTATAAATGGCCCTAATGTCTCCTTTGTTTTTTTATCTCTCGCTCTAGCTCTCTGTCGCTCTTTTTCTCGTTGAGCTTCGCTGGCCTGTCGCCTACTTTCTCTTTTTCTCTGTCTTTCTCTTTCTCAATATTCCAAATTTGTGGACGTGACAATTAATCTAAGCTTAATACTTTAGGCAATACGGATACAGAAACAATTTCAGCTTTCCGTTTTCGTCTTTATTGACTTTAGATGTCCCTGCTTCACAAGACGCGGGTGGTTATGCGATTTCCCGCCAAAATATTTGGGTTGCCATACCTGTTGATTGAGTTATTTTACATTGGTATATCTGTGGTGTGGACGGGCGGGCGCGCGGACGGTCACGTGATTACCAAAATGTCTCAGATGGGTAGATTACCACATTTTCTTGGGGCTAAGCTCGCGCGCGCGTGGAGCTCCGCTATAAAGAAAGCGCAAGCCGGATGCTGAGCTTCACTGGCATGAACAGTTCGTTTTAAATCGAATCAACTACGATCGACGGACAAAATTTCAAGCAGCTGTACACCTGCGAACAAGCTAAAAGCGGGCCATCTATTCACACAAGTTGTACGAAAAAAATTCCGCGCCAATTTAACCTACAACTTACTTGAATGTCGCATAAAAACAAAACAAATATGTCGAACGATCGATGTTTTACGCCTACAACATAGTGTAGATTGCCTTTGGGCATTAACTGTGTTGGAAAAGCTACAAGAGAGAGTCACTAAAGCGAACAACAAACACCGTATGTGAATATCCCGTCGGCCGTAAGATTGAACCCTTTTCAAAACTCAGAGTGTAATATTTTCTTCTCATAACGGTCGGATAATTTACTTATTTCCCGGCTGCTGTTTATATTACTAACATTTTGATATAATACAATTTGCCATTGGCTGCAAAAAATCTTGAATTTTGATTCTACCATCTCTCCCACGAAAAAAAGATTTAAAGGGACAGGTTCACGGTTCAGCTTATGCTCATTTGACAGAATGCTGTTTTTCTACCGGGACATGCTGTATTGTCTGTGCAAGTAATATGATCATGTCATAATGTTGTCAAAGTACCAATCTGCACACTCCCCTGGCAGTCACTTGCACTTGATCAACTTAAATATTTGCAAATGGCTGTAAATTAATCAACCATGGAATAAAACCTTCAGGTCAATAATAAATTCAACGTTGGTAGTGTTGGCATAATCCACTAATTTTTTCTGCGATTTTAGTACTCCTCCATCCTACTTCAGGTTACTCTGAAATACAATTGTACTTTGAAATACACCCTGAGATCGCTGAGATACAAGTGAGTGGGATTATTAACCGATAAAATTAATAATAAATTGGAAAGAAGTAATTTAATCAATGAGCAGGCGCTTAACCGTGAACCTGTCTCTTTAAAAACAATTTTAAAATATCACCGTTTTCCATTGCCTGCGCACAGCCACCCCCTCCCCTCAGAGGGGGGGAGGGGGGTGTACACAAGCTACGTTTCTCACCACTTACCTGTGAACAAAGTGTAAAATTCTCGTGCCATGTACCATTATAAAAATCACACACTCCTTTGCTGACGATTTCACATCTGGCTTCGTTTCCCATGCAGCAAGGCCGACCAGTGATTTCACAGGTCATGTGAGGATAGTCCGTAGGAGATAAATTCGGCTTGTTCTTTTTACACACCTACAATATAGCAAAAACTGTTCTGAAATTTTCTATTCGTTATTTCCGATAATCATCACGGAAACTTAACTTTGGATACCGCCCAATTCCCTATCATGGGCGATGGCTCATTGGAAATTCAGGGCAGGCAAAAAAATTCTCTTGCCAAGTTGGCAAGTAAATTACAGTTTCGATTGCCTTCACTTAAAACTTAGTGGCCCAACTCCGCGAGGGGAATACAATGCCTTATAACTTGCAGTTCTAAGGTTGGAGTGCCTTTTTTTTATAAAGACACTGCCCACCTACACTAGCTTTTGCAATTTGTGGGTAGTGAGAAAATAAAGTTGTAAACTTTGAAGAAACAATAAAAATGAACATGATAGATTATAGAAAAGCCAATTGTTCAACTCCTCAAAGGTAATAAAGATGGTGCTTAGTGCACTACGCACTAAGCATTTTCAGTAACTTTGATTATTTGTATAATTAAATATGTCACTTGTTGCATGTTTGGTATTAAACTCTGTTCTAAATGTACAAATGTAAGTAGCCCTGACAACATACCGGCCATTTGGTGATATCCTGCGAATCCCACCTATCAGGAGCGACATCTGGTGGGTCCAAGCACGTTCTGTTAAGGAACAAGTAACCAAAACTATGAATAGACTGTGACCAGTTTCTCTTTTTCTTCAGTGCACGCGCGCTTTCTCGTCTCGCGCCTTCAGTCACGCGAGTGGTCATTTTTGTGTCTCGCAAGTTTCACTCGACAGACTACGAAAAAAAGAGACTGTTCGTCGTCTACACTTTGAATAGACCTCTTAAGTTAGTACGTTTTGTTTTCCGAATGATGCTTCCGGGAGAATTTGATTCTTTGCCTTTTTATAGATTATGCGTACATATAACTACAGGAAAGAAAACTTTTCTCTAGAGTATTATAACATGACCTGCATTGGAAACGAACATACAACCTAAAGAGACCTGTTCAGCGTGCAAAAAAGGTAGTGTCCGATAGCCCGGGACTGCTGGATTTTGCTATCGGGCTAGTGAATTCTGTTATTAACTTGCCCGACGGGCAAGTGAAGTTTTTTGAGGAATTGAAAATACAGGAGAGCTGTGAAATCAATCTGCTCATCAAAACGTTTTTGGGGCTGGTTGAAATGATGTTTGGGCTAGTAAATGTTAGCTTCAGCTTGCCCGAATGGCAAGCTGTAAAAATGACTTTCTTTGCAGAATCATCATGGCATCATCATGGCTGAGTAACACTCTTTTAAGCTTGAAGAATTTTTCTGATTTCTGTTAAGTGTCATCAAATGTTCGCGTGAGTATATACACACCATGAACTTCATGGTTTCTCTATTCACCTTGAGCTGAATCATCAATTGAGACATGCGACAATTCAGCTTGATTGCAATGAACATTAATACTTTTTTTCTTTTTCCAGTTAACATTGATATTCTTTTTCACTGTAAGCAATCTATGTAGTTACCTTGGATCTTGTCCACACACGATCCTTGTTTTGTTGTCTTTGGAGTATTTGCTGAAGGAAGCAAATGCTCTCTGGAATTAAAAACAAAATGCCATCATTATTATCAATGACAGGCACAGCTTCAAGTCATTAAAAGAGAAAACTTTACATGCCTGAAATTGCCAAATGGCAACAAGTCTATTCCCAACAAAAGTGGAAAAACATGGCAGGAGTATTTTGCAGAATTGTAAATGGCCACCAAATAACTGTGAAGTTTGGTGAGAAAACAACCAGCATTTCGCAACGCCACCAACGGTATCCCACGAAATATCGTCAGAAGAACAAGCACAGAATTTCCATACTGATGACACATCACCACCCAGATCTGGGTAGTGATGCATCATCAGTATGGAATTTCTGCGCTAAGGCTAGAGTAGATTGAAAATAACTTTCTGAAAGAATAAGGAATACACTCAGCTTCCATCTTTGAAATCCAGTATTTATGCATACAACTTTCCCTTTTTCCCCAGAAGGGGGTATTCAGGATGCCTTATAACACTGAAGTTTAGTGATTAGGGTTAGGAAACTGATTGAATCAAGTATCTCAGTTTTTTTCCCGTATAATGACCCTAAAGGAACCTGATTCATGCACTTTCTTAAACCCAGTTAGACTACTCTGGCCTGCAAGCAGGCTTACTTGTGCTAATTAAAGAAAAATTTTTGAGATTTAGCTGCCATTGATGCCAACATTTTCCCCTAATTCACTCAAGTATGCCTGCTTACAGGTAAAATCTACCTTTCAGTCAAACTTACTGAACACTCTTTCTGCGATGTCTGAATGCATCCTGATCCATCAGACTTTATACAGCATCCTGTATCGCTCTCATTTCTCCTTTCTTCCTGGAGCACGTCTTGCAGTTTACTGTCCACGCGCATGCAAGGAGCAAACTTGGCCCCCATTCTGATTAATCCTCGCTACAAAGTAAAATATTGTCATGAAGTCCTGGTGTGTGTAGGTTTAAATTAAAGTAACTCAACAAAGATCCTACTAATCTTTACTTGCAAAATATCTATGGCTTGTGCTTTATAAATATTCAACCAATTACATCTTGTAATCATTGCACAAGCCATACAGATTTGAATTCCCCACCCACCAAATTATAACATGAGTGTGGCTTAGGACATGATAAGAAGCTTTACATGAAGTACAGACTATCAGACATGCTACACGTATGATGTCTAAATTATTATCTCACAGTATCACTGATAAATGAATGTACCTGATTAGGACCAATCCAGAAGTTCTCATGTTGCATTCGAGATTCCTTAATTGGCACAAGTGTTCCAGCCAGACTCTTGTCAACCTTAAATAAAAAAGGCCAGTAAGGACTGAATTCAGGACTGTACACTGTACCATAAGCCCTTGGTAATTCATGTTTTCTAATACTTGTATCCTGCCGTGTCAAATTGTTCTGTAAAAAGCTGTACCTTTTATTCCCCAACTCCATATTTTCGTTCAATGTAATGGAAAAAGTTTCTAGGCACCAACGTGACTATCAACAGCAATGGAACAATATTCAGCAGTTATTTTTTAAACAAGGTTCTGATCAGTTTTGGAGATCAAAGAGCATGATAAAACTTTATTCATTCCCTTGTCCAAATCTAACTCTTATTGCAATGCCCAAAAAAGTAGGCTTAACTAATACACAACACATAAAACCTTAAATATATAAACGCTTAAATATTGCTCCTACATGAAATAAACTTAAAGGAACAAAATCACTTACAACTCCTTCTATCTTTCTCTCTGTGAAACCAATGGGTGCAAAGCCATAAACAGCTAAGCCAACAATAAGTACAACTGTCTGTACAAATGAGATCCAATATGTAAAGAAAGGTCTGCAAAGAGAAAAGCACACAAAAGGAAAACATACTGCTTGCAAAAGACTTACTAGTAGCAGCCATTTTCTGAACTCTACCAAAAAAACGAAATCACCGCAGCATTATCACATTATCAGACTACTGTGACTGAATTTAAACTCTAGCACATTATCTACTACATAAAGGAATGAGGCAAGTGGAAGATGGGCTCATTTTCAGCTTCAGCACATTCCATATGCATGGACTAAACACAGGTTTTAACTACATTTTTAAGCTTTATAATTTCTGTGGGAAAAAACTGTTTGCATTCACACAAAAACATCACCAATGAAAATTTGAATGCATTAAGTTCATAGGCAACCAATGATGAAGAGGAAGGAGGATAAAAATGTCTGTTTTAAAAGAGCATTATATTATTTTCATATTCACAATCTCTGATACTACACATAAAAAGCCCATAAAAATTTCTGAACAACTGTTTACCAACCTATGATCACTAAGAGATTCCATCTGTTTTTTGACAGTGCTTGTCAAACGCTTGCGCTTGATGGTTCTATTCAACCATCTGCCTACCATGCCCTTGCCGTACTCTCGGCGATTGGCGTTGGTAACACGAGGTCTGTCAGCAATTCTTTGTCCTCTCCTACTGCGGATGGGTGGTCGACTGAAAAAATATAGCATTATAGATTACATTAATTTATACTCATAAATGATAAAAACAATGAATGGGCAAAATATATTGTGATCAGTAAAATGGAATTTTTTTTATAAAAAGAACATGAAAAATGCAGTATTTGACTGATACTCACGGAGCAGGGGGTCCTTCGATTTGATCTCTGCCCACTGGTGGTACAGCAGGCACAGGTTTTTCTTCTTCTTTGATTCCTGGTAAAAATCCTGGCTTCTCCTTTCTTCTTCTTTGTTTTTCGGGTGCAAAACTGAAGAACACTTCATCATCAACTGAACCTTCATCAATCCCCTACGATGAAAAAGAGAGGGTCAGGATACACAGTGACTTAGTCACATAAAATAACATCACTAGGAATGTTTTGTAAAGAAAAACAAAACACCTTACATCCAAAACTTTACAGCTAATTCAAAGAAGCAACTATACTAGGAGCTTTGCCGTTTTAAGGAGGTATCAACAAAACCTGATCAGACCAAAATTGGATAAAATGCATATGTACAGTAAAAAACTTACACGAACACCTTCAGCATGAAATGCACTGTCCACTTCATCCTCATCAGTCTGGGACATAACAGCTGGAGAGAAGCTCCGTCCAGCTTCCAGCAACAAACATGCTGGCTGAGCCTTGCCTGGTGATTTAAAACCCTGTTGACAAAACAGCAGTCTTCATATGGGATAGAGGCAGAATTATAAAGCAGTTTTTAAATCAAAATTACTATTTACTGTCCACATGCAATAATTGATTAATTATTAATTCTGCATTCAGTTATGTCTGTTTCTATTCCAATTACGTCAGTTTGTCTTTCAATTAAACCTTTATTCATAAAAATATTTTGGCCATTAAATTATTATGGTTTGTACACACATACTTTACATAAATACAACTTTAATTTAAGCAATCACCAAGACCATGCCTATTATCAAGCAATTATGCCTATTTCTACATCATTTAGTTATGGCTTGTTGCCATTCAACTATTTAATATTGATAGGCCACTTTTATCTCGGCCGATAAGAGCATTACTGGATACTAAAACTGACTGTAAGCAAGATAGGTACATGAGGTCAAACCAATTCTCCAGACTAGATATAGAACCGTCTCTAGGAAATGTAAGAAAACCACTAGGAAGAATATAAACATTAGTGAATTGGCCCTGTTGTAATAAAAGATGGAAAAAAGACAAAAAAACTTAGTTCTGTAAAAAAAAAAAACAGAAATAAATTCAATGAATTAACAAAAAAATTACCCCAGGCTCCTCTCTCATTTTCCTGACTTTTTTCCAAGCCAGGCTTGCCACTGACTCTCTTCTGCTTAATGTGCGTACTAGGTTAGGGTCAGCTTGCGTGTGACGAGAGCTTTGATAGCTACTGATGCTACCTGCACCACTTGATTTGCCACGTTGCATGGCACCATCCACTGCATCTTGTTCCACCAAAGCCCCATAGCGCTTATGGTAATGTCGTTTCCTTCTTTGAGTCCATTTCCTCTGTAGGTTAGCATGCTGTTCTTCACAGTCTCCAAGACCAAAAAAATTCTCTGTGCTTTTAATGATTTTCCTATTCAATCAAAACATGACAACTTTAGTAGATTACTAACTGTTATTGAGTTTTTTCATCCCTTGTGGAAAGGAAACATGAAATGATCACCATCCTTAAACTGATGTATTTACTTCACTCTCTTTGTGGCACAGAGTATGGTTTTGAGCACCTCTTGTCTGAAATTTGCTATAGGGTTTTTACCATTGTGCTCTGAAAAAGGGTCTTGAGAAGTCTGCTGTAGTTTTATTCAAAGATCTTATAATGACGTTGATGCAAACCCAAGCAGCTACTAGCTAAGAACATAATTTCATCATGGAGTACATTCTGCAACAGTTTGTATGAATTATTATGGTATTGAATTCTGAGTTACGCCTGCAGTAGGATGAGAAGAATCTCATACTTTGGTCTGAAATGGGTAAGAATTGAGAGGCACTAGTCGCTTTTCATCAACCACATTTTCTGGGGGTATCTCTCCCATGGCACTCGGCTATAAGTAAATAAGTAGCATATGTAACAGAGCTGTGCTTTAATGGTGCCCAGTAGCAACGGTGACTCAGTTTTACTCTTAATCGACAAAGGAATGTTAGGTTTTTTTTTCAGAAAAATCATTTGCTGGGCACCATGGATTTCACAGGTTGAGAGCAATGACCTGGTGTAACCAGTGGAATAAATATTAATGAGTCGATTAGCCAATCAAGCCATGATAAAATTTTTAAAACACCAATCTTTGACTTAAAAATATATAATATTTAGGTAGAGAATGACCTTAATAAATTTCCATGTCGAATGAGATCCGTTTCATGCAATATTCTACCGACACTGTTAGCTGTGTGTACAGAGCTCATTATTGACCAAACAATATTGAAATATTGGATGGAAAGGCACAAATTAACTCGGAGTTTGAAACTCAAGTTTCGAAATCAGTCATTGTTGCAAGAAATTAAAAAAAATATGACTGTTCCAGTAACTTTCTTTGTAAACCATGCCCACTTGAAATGTAACAACAAATGTTCCATTATTGTCTAGGTCATAAGTTTCTGTTATTTCAAGGGTTACCATAACATGGTGATAATTGCTATGGTGACTTGATTTTGTCTCCGGTTATACAAATAACAAAAAAGTCACATCAGGGACAAAGTGGCATTTAAAACAGTTCTCTTTTCTGTAAAGATCTGGTTTATGCCATTGAGTGTGTTGATAAAAACAACTGGTTTATGCAAATGAGTGTCTTAGTCTTAAAATCAATCGCTTATCAGATTTTTTTAGTCTCATATGTACTTTGTCATGGATCGTTCTCCTTTCAAACAATAAAACACTAACAATTCCATTGTTTAACCAGACACTGTGACTTGATCATGAACTAATTGCTTTATAATTCAAGGTCAACACCTTTTGCAAACACAAAAGTGTTTCTAATGGAGTCATTACTTACATATCCCCAAAACAATTTAGTGTCTCCACCTAGGGGCAAAGATTATTCGATTATTCGATTTACCGGGTATAAAATACCTGTCGACATTTACCCTTTTCCACGTTTTAGAGTATGTGAAAGGCTCGCTAAACTTGCCCTCGGACCCATCCGTCCAAGAGTCGTGAGATCAAAACTGGGTCTAGGACGCTCTCTCTCTTGATAGTACTGTATAAACTGAGGATAAATTCCGTCATCGTTGAAGTCTGTGCCCTCATCCAAGTCGTCGAAGTTGTAATGTTGCTGGGTGTAAAAAACGCCTGTAGCCCTAGCGTCAAATGAACCACGGCCTTCATTCGCATAAGCCATTTTGGCACGTTAACACAACGAGTGGATTCTAAATATTGTTATGTTCGGTCATTTCACATTCCATCAAATATTGTTTCCGCGGTTACAGTGAAAGAAAATGTTTCAAGATATTTTATGCAAATTTAGAAGGTCAACTCGAATTGAAGTGTAAATTTCATCACGCGATTTTCACAAGCAGGTTACCAAATGATAATCAGAACTAATTTAAGAATGAAACAGAATTAAAGTCACATATAAACTTCATCAAAACAAACAAATCTTTGTTTTAAGCGAAGAGCAATCGATTTCTGTTAAAATTTTATGTACCGGAAGTCAACAACATCAATATAGCTGTACATACTGAAGTGGGTACGTTGTTCGTCATACTTTCATTGCAATTCCAGGGACAATACTGAGACCACAGAAAACCTAACATAAAAAGAAATATCAGCAGCAATCGGTACGTACTTTTTAATCGTCTGGGCACGGTTCAGTTGGCTCGGATGTACAGTATCTGTTGCGGCTGTACCTCGACCAGGTAGATGATACTCAGAACCCGCAGGAGTTGGAACAGCACTGCTCGCTCCGTCGTCAACTTGGCCATCTTGCCGTGAAACACAGCGTGTAAACAACCTTCAATAGAAGGAACAAACATGAGAAATTCTGCTTAAATTCTTAATAAGCGCGAAAAGACTGCCGTTAAGCACTCGTTAGCTTAAAACTGCAACAACTCGATCGATTGGCAAAAATGCTTCGTGCATGATCATTTAAGATCAATTCACACGATCGAGATCATGTTGGCTGTACAATCGCGCCAGATATTGGATCTGTCGAACATGTATTATCTTCAAGACCAAAATAAACTAACTGCAGAATACCAAAGCAACGAATAAACATTCGATCGAAGTAATTACCACTGATTCACACGTTCTTGCCCTTCAGCATCGAAGTCCTTTTTGCTTTGGCGCCTTCGATGTCCGCGAGCCTTTTCTATATCTCCTTCTCTTCGACCATGGAATGGATTACAAAATAATGTCCTTTCATCATCGTCTATTTCTTCATTCTGAACTGTTGTTGGTTGATACGCTCCCGCCATGGCTGATTTTCCAGCCACAAGTAAGGAGAAAATCGACGTAACTTTCTACGCGACAACGGGAGAAGATTTGAAAGTTTTCAGCAACCCTCAGCAACCTCTCGATTCTAGGGAGACTGGTGACGAACAATTAAACGCCGCTCCCGGAACGGGTGGGGTTGTTTTTCATTCAATCACCCCATTTTGCCTTAAAATCCCGAATCGCGACCTTCAAAGCTCTTTATTTAATAGAATAATATATAGATTTAGCAAGGGATGAAAGCGAAGCTCTCGATAATATTTATAGTTTTCTCAAACAAAATATGAAATCGTGTAATTCTAAAGGTGATGTTTCATGGAACGATTCGCAACAACGATTTTTAACGCAACACACCATCACAGCATTGTTGCGACATTGTTTCGAATGGTGGTAATATTATTGTTCCAACATTGCAAGGCTGTGTTGCACTAAATATCGTCGTTGCCAATCGTCTAGTGTAACTTCACCTTAAAGGTGATTTGCAACGACGATTTTTTGCGCAACACAGTGTTACAATGTTGGAACAATGTGTAACTATTCGAAACAATGTCGCAACAATATTGCAACGCTGTGTTGCGCTAAAAATCGTCGTTGCGAGTCGCCTTGTGTAACAATACCTTTACAAAATTGTTCCAACATTGCAACGCTGTGTTGCGCTGAAATTCGTCGTTGCGAATCGTTCACCTTAAAGGTGATGTTACACGGAATGATTCGCAAAGGCGATATCTAGCGCTACACAGCATTGTAATGTTGAGACAATGTCGCAAGCATTCAGTTTTGTTTTATTTTACACTTTAAGTGACGTCTGGCTACAGCATCTCTTTAATTAGAGATCCGGCAAGAGAAACCAGTCAGTTATATTTACGCGTTGCGTGGACCTTTGCATTCAAACAGTTTTTCCTATTTGCTTTTACAAGCGTCCACTGGTCCGATATCTGGATCCGCTAAATCTGACAGCTGGCTCCAAATTACATCATGGGTATTGATACCAGTACCTGGACGAAAATCATCGGCTCCTTCTATTTCAGGAGCCGTTAAAAGATATTTCAGTCGTAAAGCTCAGGCCCTGAGGAAGTCTAATTTTGTTAGCCGAAATATTGACCTGTAATAAATCAGCCGTTTGCCGTAGTGCCAGCCCTGCATTCAGTTTTGTATTATTCAAAACAATGTCCCAACAATGTTGCAACGCTGTGTTGTTCTAAAAATCGTCGCTGCGAATCGTCTCGCCAACATCACCTTAAAGCCTGGTTTTCATATGTCGGGAAAATTCCTGACGATCTCATTATCTCACCGCCGCTACAGAATTTCATGTTGTTCCTCCATCAAAAAATGTCTCTTTTGTTTTTTCTCTCCCGCTCTTGCTATTTTCTCGTTGAGCTTCGCTGGCCTGTAGCCCAACGTTCTCTTTTTCGGCTGTCTTTTTTTTTCTCTACATTCCAAATTTGTGGACATGACAATTAATTTAACCTTAATACTTTAGACAACACGGATACAGAAACATTTTCCGCTTAACAAATCGACCTCAATTTCCCATGTTCTACACTCTTATAGACGATAGAAATGACGCCATAAAATGTCCAAATCTCAAGTGGAACCACGAGCCGCAGGTAAGTGGTATCACTGCAAAGTTTTGAACATTATGGTGTCATTTCTATGGTCTATATGAGTGCAGACCATGGAAAATTGTGGTCGATTTGTTTTTTACACTGAACATTTATTTTTAGTTTCCTGTGAAGTTTCTCTAAAAATAACTGCGCGAAGCGCCGTTTTTCTTATTGTTTTTTGTATTTTTGCTCTACCTTTGCAGCTTCAAGCACCAAATCACTGTCAGAAATTCTCCCCATATGTTAAGGTTTGGTTCTTCTTTATCCATTTTCAGAAGTAAAATTATTTTTACGGAAAACCAAAAACAAAACAACCGGCAGTGCGTGACATGTTACGTCATTTCCATGGTCTTTACTCTCATAGGCCATATATAGCTCTAGACCAATCAGGGCGCGAGGATTCGCTCAGTTATTGTAAAATTTCCGTTTTCCTCTTTATTATAAAACAAAAGAAGCAAGACTGGTTTTACAGTCGGGAATATATATATATATATATATATATATATAATTTTTTTTTTTTCTCAACAATATTTCGGAAGGCACGGACTCTTTAGTTGTCTCTGCTTCACAAGACGCGGGTGGCCATACGCTTTCCCGCCAAAATAACCTGACATTTGGCATCGAATTACATGAAGTGTGTGTACGGAAGGGTGGGCAGGCGTACGCTACGTCATAACCAAATTTTCTTGCCTTCATGGGTTTCCAATTTATCTCAGCAATGGGGCTCCGCCGCCCGCGCTTCACGCGCGCGGAAGCTCCGCTAAGATTAGACACCCTACGTTACAATAAAAGTAAAAAACTGTATAAGCTAGGACTTGTAATTTTAAGCTAAATAACTAAAATTATTATACACATCCAAACTACAATGCCTTTAACTGCCTTTTTAAAAATGAAAATATTGCGGATAGTTTTTCCGCTCCAACCCACCTAATGTCTGTGTTAATTTAATTTATTAAAAGCTACATAAAATGACAAAAAGACTTATTAGGTATGTGAGAAAAGCACCATTTTGGAAGGTAAACGAAAGCGTTACCTCTTCTGTCAAAAAATGATATACTACTTAAAGGGTAAGGCGTTGGACCTGGGGGCGGAACCTACTCGTCTGTAACGTTAGTGAGTAGCCTTCTCTAGCTCTCTTGCTGATGATTGGTAACGATATTAGACTTGCTCCGTCAGAAGTAGCTTTTGAGCGACGAAGTCTTAAGAACGAGCATGAGGGAGAGAGGAATAATTGTTATAGTAAAATCCAACTAGCTGGTCAAACTAATCGAGACAAAATAACTTTAGCTGTTATTAAAAGTTAGACTTTAATCGTTTTTTGGCCGCCAAAAAGCCGGCGCTTTTCGCTACGAGTGGGCTATAACATATAGCCTAGTAGTAGCTCAACCTATTAGAACGCAGCATTGATAATAGACCACTCGTTGGATTTTACTAAACTCTCATAGACCATAGCTCTCGACCAATCAGCGCGTGAGGATTCCGTAACTTATTGTAAAAAAACATATTCAGCTTACTCATTTTTATAAACTTGACGTTTCGTACGTTGATTACCATTCGAAACGTCAAGTTTATAAAAGTGAGTAACTTGGACATGTTTATCGCCGCTGTTTGTGTTCCGTTTCATAACAGTTGAAGTTTTAGACTGCAAGCAATCTTTCTTTTTCTTCAGATTTAGTAAGGGGAGTACACGCGCGAGCTAGCGTCGAGCGTGTCTGCGCGTTTCGCTCGACGGACGAAGAAGAAAGAGAGACTGCTCGTGGTCTAGTTGAGGCTCCTTTGAGCTGACACTCGCGGGAAGCTTAAAGGGAAATTAATTTCCGCAAATGGTGCTGATCGCCACCTTACGGGAATGGTATTTCAAATAGCCTGCGAGGAAGCTCTCCTACATTGGGAGTCCGTGCAGGTCTGTCTTTGACTTCCTTTCTAAATAAGGGGGAAAAGGTCACGTGACTTGTTAATAAGTTAAACAGCTAATAGGATAAATAACATTTCCAATCGTACAAGGCAAATTTACGATTTACACCGTTTATGTAACATTTTGGTGGTGAAAATTCCTAAGATTAAGATTTGCAACTTTTCCCAGTTTAGAAAAACGTGTTTTGTGACGTCTTTGACAAAGCAATGTCACGTGTTATTTGAAATTGCGTTTTACATGTTTTTTTTTTCATTGAACCACCTTTGTAGTTCACGTTTCAGAATCACTGAAACGCAGAATCACTGCAAACCGGTTTAAATAGCATTTTACAAAATATGCATATTTGATCGGGTAGTCATGCCTTAAGTAACAATTAATGAATGAGGCTGAGTTTCATATGAAGAATTATGGAGATGGAGGAGGGTGTTATCTGTCGAGACCGTAGGCCGAGGTGGATAACACCCTCCGAGATCTCCATAATTCTTCATATAATACGAAAGCCGAATTCAATAATTATTTTATTCTCCATTCAAAATAATTCCTAGTTTAAAAACATAGCTAAAACAGGCTTTCCTCCATCGTTTTTAAGTACATCTTCGATAGTGCACGTTTAGGGTTGTTCAGCTCTGCAAATATTCTCCAACAGCAGATGTCGCCCTTCGAGTTGTCTTCGTGCTGTTCTTGCCATGTTTTTAGCTATTATTTCGTCTAGTTCTTACTCTTAAAACGATTGAAATGTCCGCCATTTTTATTTTCACAACCAAAACAACTCAACCTCGTCCCTAGGTCTTCTCGGTTAACGGTGCATTAACCTGCAAGGAAGCTGTACTTTTGACGTCATCGGTTCATTAATCGCAAAATTCTTCCAAATTTGGCCATCAGTACCTGGTTATGGTGAATTATGCTTGTGCTTTTAGCCAATCAAAATCGGGGAAATATTTCATGAATGAATAATAAGTCATGTTAAGTGGCCTGAGAAACCAAATAATTGACCCGTAACATTGCTCAGGATTTATTACTTTTAGCCAGCCCAAAACAAACCCTTAAAGAAAGAAAATTTGTGCAACTTTTCTCTGGAATGAGATTTTTTTTACTTTAACTTACGCGGCAGACTGGGGTGACAGTTCTTTCCTTGAATACTTTTAAAATGCTGAAAATTCTTACTGTTTGGCAGAAGAAAAAGCTGGCAGACAAAAGAGTAACCGGAACAAAATAAGGAAACCTTCGTATAAAACAACTGTTGAGGGAATGAACGGGAAACAGTCCTATTATTAGCTAAAACTAGTTTTCAGTACGGAAGATAAGCTTGTATAGGTGTGAGACTCTCCCTTTCACAGTAGTTTTACTAATTTATCTTTAGAGGAAGCTGAAAGGATACTACGTGACCGATTTCAAAGGCCCTGGTTTGATCAGTTTCCTAGTTTCCCTCCACCCTGTCTCTCTTTTCACCCAGGTGTACAAGTTAGTACCGGCGACATACTACTGGGGATAACGGATGAGGTAGCATGATGCCGTCCATGAGGGAATATACTAATATACCCTTAATAGGGGTTAAAATTTAATTTGTCAAATTAACTTCATAAAGTGTCGAGATGCTGTCGTCAAAATGGGTTTATATTTCTAAATCACCCCCTCCCCCGCCCATCCCATCTTCCCCTTATCCGAAGTTGGGCTGTTCAGTATTGTTTTCTACAGCAAGAGATCCTCTCTTGTCTACAGGTTGCTTACCACCGGATAGCGGCACAACATTGTTTAAGGTGGCTCGATACGGTTTTTTAGGGTCAATACCTCCCAAGATTGAGCATAAACTACGTCGCCATAAACAAAGATTTAGAAAAATTGCTACCAACAACAACGAGCTTTATTTGCATGACCATACAAGCACATACAGTTTTGCAAAAGCCATGTTTAGGGGTCACAATTACAACACAGGGCAATTACGTTACTTTGATAATAATTTTTCACGAACATCAAAACAAGCTGAAATATATTTTAAGAATTGTATATTGGTAAAGTAATTAGAAGAGTTCATCAGTTCATTGATCAAACCGTTTATAGGTAACTGGACTGCCTATTTCTATCATTAGTTTGTGATTGCTTATTCGTAGTTTTACTAAAGCCCTTTTCCCAGCTGTTCCTCAGTTCCTACCATAGTTGTATTAGATGAAAATGGAAATTTGTTCATCCTCGGAGACCCAGGGGCGGTCAGTCGGGCCGGGAGAAAAGGCGCGAGCGAAAGTTTTCAAGTACGGGCGAAAGAGCCCCTGGGTACCGACTCTTAACGAACCATTTCCAAAAATTCAAACGGATGCCGGCTTCCGATTGGGCACAAAAAAAACCTTTGTATTATTGTGCCCAATCAGCGAACAACATCTCCTGAGTTCTTTTCATGTGTTCGTACATGACGGCTATTATCTCGCCATGCTTGTCTGGTTCGTTCACCAACGCTGTGCGTGTATATTCGTAAGCGAAACTCTCACTTTCTGCTTCCCTAAACAGAAACGAAGGAACTATCGATGACTCGGAAAAACATTTCGGATGACTATTCCCATTTGCACCAAGAAAATTCTGCTTCTGACCGATCGCAAGGTATCGTAAATAACGTCAATAGAAGGCCTGATCGATAGAAAGCTTGAATTGAATACGTCTTGAAAGCTCAAGCTTTAAAATACCCTCACATGCGTTTCCATGTGTTAGTTTTCGGGAAGACAGTATTTTCAAATGGACGAGGATGTTCTGTAACTGAAAGTTTCCTGATTGCGTGCATTTCCTTGGTGAACGAGCCAGACAAGTATGGCGAGATAATAGCGGTCGTGTACGAACACATGAAAAGAACTCAGGAGATGCTCTTCGCTGATTGGGCACAATAATACAAAGGTTTTTTTGTGCCCAATCGGAAGCCGGCATCCGTTTGAATTTTTGGAAATGGTTCGTTAAGAGTCGGTACCCAGGGGCTCTTTCGCCCGTACTTGAAAACTTTCGCTCGCGCCTTTTCTCCCGGCCCGACTGACCGCCCCTGGGTCTCCGAGGATGAAATTTGTTATGATCAGGGTTGCAACGACATCGGAGTTGTCATAGCAACGAAACGACGCTATTACCTATACATACTAATCAAATCTTTCTTTCTAGCAATCGGCGGGAGCTATCTCCATGATCTTTCACGCACGTTTTTAAAAACATTGAAACTACTATGAGGTGAAAGTGTATGTCAAAAGCGCTTCGTTCTCTACAGATAACGGCCAAACATCAAGATGGTCCATTTTTTACTGTTTTTCTTCCCATAAAAAAACTTTATCCCAAAATATCTCGACAACGCTCTTACAGATTTCGCTTAATCCGAGTGCCGAGAAATACTGCTGCAAGTAAAATAGGTAATAGCGTCATTTCGTTGCTATGACAACTCCGATGTCATTGTAACCCTGATCATAACAAAATTTTCATCTTTATCTGATACAACTTTGGTGGCGATTTCTCCCAATCTTTGTTTTTGGCGACGTAGTTTATGCTCAAAGTTAGGAGGTATAGATCCTGAAAAACTGTATCGAGCCACCTTAACAAGATCGAGTAGGGGATCGACAAAAAGCCTTTTCCTCTGTCAACGTAGAAAGTGTAGGGGAAAGGTGACTGAAAATGTCGATGAGGGCCAAGTTTCTTAATTAGTATTTTGTAGCTGATTTTAAGTGCTTCACGGCCACAGAAACTCGCTTAAGCTCCGACCTTTGGGGACCTATGGGCTCTTGTACGCCTTTACCTGGCTTTTTAAAGCCTAGTTTGCATAATTATCAGCATCATCTCGATCGCTTTTGTGATCGTCTCCCAAAAATTAAGCTTCGTACGTACGTATCCATTTTTGTTTGAAACGGGGATTTCTCAGTCTTCAAAACAAATATGCGTCGGTACATTGTGCTTATGAATCCTTTTGACCCGTCCGCACACGCGAAAAGGCAATGGTGACTGAAATAGTACAGTACATTACAGAGGTTTTAATAACTCTCCACAAGGCTTTCAAAGTCAATTTACAATTTATGAAGAAAAAAGGAAAATAAGAGTATAAAATTGCAATATAATAATACAGGCAAATGTGTTAACCTAAGAGATATAGTTTTTCAGAACTCTAGAGTAACGTAACTAAGACACAATCCATCTGTTACCTAGATACTATCTCTTAACGTATCACTATATTTACTGCCAGTTTTTTATTTTAACGGTCAATCGTTGAAGTTGCCTGATGAGTGTGGTCCTACAATTTCGGACCATACGAAACAGCACTGTCGCAATAAACGATCAATGATTACTTGAACTCCTGAACTCCTGTGATTATTAATAGTCTTACATATATCTATACTTATTACACAACAACATCGAAAATTATTAATTGTTACACTACCAGTAGTCTCCCATTTTTCCTCAGGGATAGTAGAGGGAGCGAAACGCGAGCGCGCGTGAAAATCAACCCACGCGAGAAAAGGCGACACGTGGGGTGATTTTCACGCGCGCTCACGTTTCGCTCCCTCTACTATCCCTAAGGAAAAATGGGGGACTACTGGTAGTCTACACATACTCTGATGTTATCGAGACGATTATAAGGAAACCAGGCTTCACGACACTATGCAAGCCATGAATAGTATATTCTCTCTAACTTAATAATAACTTATGCGCACAAAACTAAAGAGGGAAAACTGACCGCAACCATGAGGTACACTGGATACATGGTACTAATTTTACTTAAAATTCGAAAACTGCTTCTTTGAATTACGTCTTCCAAGATAAATAGTTTTTAAAAAGTTACATAAAAACGCTGAAAACAATGTTCTATCACATGATACTTGCTTTAAGATAGTTTTCCGACAATCCTCTTACATTTTAATATCCTGATAAGTCACTACAAAGTTTTCTCATGTTTCAAAAAATCAGTTGTTGCCAGGTTGTTACAGAGAATCCACTACTGTTGCATATCGACAAAGTTTTCTACATATTTTTACTTGTTTTATACAACATTTGTGAGCTTTATTAGCCATACAGAACCAATCAAAAGCCAAGTAGTCACACAATATAAAAGGAGTTGAGGGGTGGAGCTGGTAGACTCTATATCAACGCTACAGGTCCCGTTTATACGGAAAACTGTTCCGGGTACCAACCTACCCGAACTACCCCGGGCGAGCCAACTTTTCATTCTTTTCCTCTCACAACGTGCATGGGGAACCGTTAACATGAGAAACAAAAGGTTGGCTTGGCTAAAACGGTGAACCGCTTACCCCGATCACCCTCCTAGTCGGGACAACTTTCTCCGATACAAACACTTTGGCTTGCACAGCTGGGGCAAGTCAGTCTGGGCGAGACAATCTGAGCGTGCGCTAGCGCTGTTGGCTCGGGGAAGGGAGTCAACTCTCTCTGTGTGAGGGTGGCCATTGTACCCGTAACAGATTTTCTCCATAAATGGGGCCTCAGATGTTTTAGGCCGTACAATTGAATGGAAACTTAATTTCATTGTGACCACGAGAACAAGGAGAATCACAGTTTCTTGGCCTTTGCTGACCCGTCTTCACGCCTTGACGTATTGTCAACCAGAAAATGGACTGTGTCAGTGTCTCACCGTTTTCACATTTCTTTTGTTTCTTCGTGGTATTCATTGCTTACCCTCATCACAGCCTCATACCACAGGCCACCTCTGATAGTAAACGTGCGGTGGATTGGCGGAGAGTCGTAACAAAAGACATGCGGCTGGTCTGGCTTGCACCAGAAACCACCAAGACGATCATATTTGCAAATGTCCCCCCAAAAGGGACGTCGCACTTGAAATTTAACTTTTATATCCCTAGCAACGGACGGAATATCTACTGACGAGCCACTGCCGCGAACTTCTTCAACAACCTTTTCGCCGTTTGAGAAATAGCTGACCACCATTTTGGAGAACCATGCTCCTTTTGATATGTATTTGACTTTTCCATTTGCTTCTTCAAGAATAATTGTGCTGGCGTTTTCTTCTCCATAGTCATTCGGGTCGGAAGGCAGAGATTGGCTGGATGTTTCTTTGTTTTTAAGCGGTTGGTAGCCGGATGGCCATTTGCTAGTCCTGTGGCAGTAACTTTCTTCTTTTTTTTCTTCAGGTAGATCACGTTTCTTTTTGGATTCTCTTGTGAGTTCTGAGGTGTTTTCGTTAAACAATGGCTGATATTTGGCAGAGCACACACCATCTTTCAATTTATGCAGATGTTCGTTGTTTTCTTTGTCCATCTTGAATCTTATTCGGCCACGGCTTTCGTGTTGTGTGACTTCACCTGTTTTGGTTATAGCTTCAGTGGAAGGCGGATTTTGCAACTCTGTCTTCAATTTTCGATGCACCTTTACTTCGTTCCATGCATGAGAAACACCTGCAGCAGTGCATTCTCGAGCAGTACCCATTACGGTATTTGCAGCCACGTTCTTAATTCCATCCACCACATGATCACAAGGACTTCGATTTTCAACCGAATCATCTAGTCTTTCCTCAGCAAATCGAGTCATAGTTCCCATCACAGCCTCTGCTCCATTCTCGGTTAACATTCGGGGAATGGTTTTAGCCAGAACATTACCGACACGCCTTGCTCCAGTTACAATAGCAACTTGTTCAACTACCTCACCTTCAATATTGGCAGATGCAGCAGACGCTTGGCCTGCCACAATGGCTTTAGTGACGGCGCCTCCTGCTATCCCTGTAGCAACACCTATTACACCACCGAACACTGCATGTCCAACAGCCTGCTTCAAAGTAATCTGTTCACCATCAACAAACTTTCGCCCTGCATCTGAAGCAACAGAAGCTGCAACACCACCTGTAGCGCCACTTGCTGCTCCAACGCCTATGTACTGACCGGCAGTGATGGCAGCTGACTCCAGAGCGGCGCTTCCAAGACCGGTTATCGCTGCCGTAAATCCTGCAGCGGCACCCCCAGTAGCGGCTCCTCCAAGGAAACCAATGCCTGCTTTCATCAGCCATTCTTTAGCCAGACACTCGTCTACAATGGCCCGCTTATTTAAAGTGTACTGGAAGGACTGCAATCCACCTCCGATAAGTCCACCTCCAAAAACCGCTCCTACTGCTACCAGCGCTGGTGCTGCCAATCCAGCGGTGCCAATAGTCAGACCAATACCTGCAGCTGTTATCGCAAGTGACACAAAAAACATACACATTCTATTTCTGTAAGCCTTCTTCTGTTCGTCATTGACACGCTCGGGCTTGAAAATTGCTTTGAAACGACTCCAGGAAAGCCAACCCCCGTCGTAGTCAGCCAGATTGTTGTAACGCGCACGTAGAGCTTCATCTTCTAAGACCTTGTAGGCAATGATGATCTCTTTGGCGATCTTGTCATCTCCACAATTGTTATCAGGATGCCATAAACGTATTTGTTTGTGATATCCTCTTCTGATCACTTTTTTCTGTTCTTCCTTTGACATTTTACGTACCTTGGCCATATCAAGCCCTAAGATTTCGTACAGGTTAGGTCCTCCTCTAGTGACTTTAAGCTCTTGGTCTCTTTGTAGTTTTCGAAGGCATATTCGCTTATCTTCAGGGTAATGGGCAAGATCTCCCTCGACGACCTGAAGTGAATCTAAACCAATATTACCAGTTATCTTCAATAGTTTATCTTCCTTCAATTTTTGAACTTCCCTGAGGACCCGTGTTTTCTTTAGTGGCTTATCTTTCTTGTCTTCTTTGTCAGCTTGACTTTCTTTTTTGTTTTCCTCATCTTTCCGGTCGTTAAGTCTGGCGACCACCTCGAAGGGAAATCTCTTCTTACTACGGTAGAGACACTTTTCGCTGGGATATATTATTTTCGATTCTTTGGAGATCCAGCAAATGCAATCCCATTGGGCATACAAGTACAGTGTTAGAATAGCATCAGACGAGTCGTTCCGGATTAACAGTGATTTGTAGTCTTCATCATGATCCATATCTGAGAAGGCTCTAAAAAATAATAAGATGATAAGGCCATATTGACTATACCAAATAGCTTTTCGTGCTGACACAATAAGCTATCTGGGATAGAAGAATAAAATCAAGCAAACAAACGGTTATCATTTTATGAAAATTTTTCTTCCGTTTCATTGGCCGAAAGCCCATCACGTGACCTGCAAATAACTGTCTACAAATAATCGCTGCTCATGCGGAATGTCGTGCAAGTGTGCGTGGCTGTAAATAATATTCTGCTCTTGCGTAAATGAAAACACGCTTTTCTCCTTCTTGCGATCGATTCGCTTCCCGAAGATATTCATTGAAAAACAAACTTGGTGATCAAATGAAAAAACAATTATAGAACTCGGTTATCGCAAAATGCCATGATTTGTCAGTGTCTCACAGATCAATTATTTGCCTCAGTCTTCGGCTGCTCGCCACCGACAAATCATGATATTTGCTCAACATCGTCCAATAATTGTTAATATTTTTTTGTCTCTCGTGATAAAGAGAGCGGAACGTCGAAGGCGAAAGCTCTCTAACAAAATGAATTTTATGTTTCTGCACGTATATATTTCTATCTTTACAAAGATTTAAAAAAATTACCACCACAGCTGTATTGGATGAACATGAAAATTTCTTATGTTCCAAAACAATGGCACGACGGCCATGTTGGTGTACCAAGACAACCGTGTGGGAACTGAACTCTTTACTTATGTAAAAACTTGCTTTTGTTCGTATAAATTAGCATAGATGCTAGCCACGTGAGTGGATACGCTCTATTGACCCTGAAAACCCTACCAAGCCACCTTAATCATATAAAATATCTCATAAGTTCAGAATAATTTGAACAATTTAAGTATGCGACATTATCTGTGTTGAATCCGTTCAGCGTCGTGCGGCGCGCTTTGTTTGTAACGATTACTGTCGTTCCAGCAGCGTTTTTACAATGTTATCGAACTTGGGTTGGCAAGATCTTGAGACACGTAGGAAGACCACCGATTTGACAATGTGTTTTAAGATAAAGACAGAAAATGTACGGATATCTTTCCCAAACGACCTACGCGAGTGCACCGTCCCTACTTGACCCGAGGCAGTGCACAGCACCCATCGACTTGCTCACAAGTCGAGCTTTTAAGCGCGTAGCGCGACAGTGACGGCGAAGCGCGATCGTACGAGCGCCGAGCGCGAAGCGCGAGCGAGTGAGCGAGCGAGCGAAAAGCTCGTGCCGGGTCCTACCACACCAGACCAGAAAACCATGCGAACGACTTTGAGAAAGTCTAACAGCACCCATTCCAGTTCCAGCGTTACTCATCTACCATTAACGCGCACAAGTAAGAATAGTAAGAACTATTCCCGCTTGGAATGCTTTGTTTCCTGTTTCCGTACGTGCTGATTCCGTTGCTGTGTTCCATTCAAGTATTTGTAATAATTTTATGTGTTGACGATTTTTCTTTCATTTATTTATTTATTTTTTTTCATATGACTTGTAATTTCATTTGTATTTATTTACTTATTTGTTTTCATTTTGTTTATTTATCTCGCTGTCAATGTCACTGACCGTCCATTGCCATTTTGCTCGCTAGAGGCAATTATATCAATTAAAGATTAAAAATGCATAGCTTTTTGATAAATTTGCGACTCATTTATCTTTAAGGCCCCATCCACTCGTAGCCGGATTCAACTTTTTCTTTCCTAATGCAAAAACTTCCACGTCCACACGTATCCGCATTCGAATCGAATTTTCCCGTATAAAACGTATCAGGATATTTTTAAATCCACAAAATTTTCCTCGGTCGGACCGTCTTGAATATTCACGGTGAAGAACTGGGCTTGATATGGATAGAAAAATATCCGGATTTAGCGTCAACACACTCATGTATGTTAAGGCTTGGATTTTTCAACTTAAAGGAGTCCCCAGCAGAGATTTTAACAACCTTCGTCCCCAGGGCGCTTTTCCCTGGCTTTGGAGGTGGGGCGACAGCGCCCCACCTCCAAAGGACGAGGTTGAGATTTTAAGACATCGTCCTTGCAGCTCGTTGGAATAAGTTGCTTCGGTCGTGAACAAATAGAAGAAGTAATATTTACGTTTTTGGTCGTACAAAAGTGTCATATACCGTCACGTGATTTTCCGCTCCTGATGACGTCACAGAATGCGTTTCCTCAAATGGGGTACATTTGCACATTAAAGACTTGAAACTTTTCGATGTTAAAATGGTCTAACCCAGGAGTCATTTCAAAAGTAGGTTGAGTTTGATCGTCCGGGTGAACGTAGTCCTGAATAGGACTGTTGTTGTTGACAGTGACTGACGTTCGACAACCTGTGTGGTAGTCATCTTCAGAGTCAAAGCGAGTTGTATCACGTCAGTTGATGGTATTATGCTCTGGTTATTGGTCTGGTTGGTCAATTACGTTGCGATGTAGTAATATATTTGTTAACTCACTTGACCTGTTTTATTAACTGACAGTTTCTGATAACTTATGCATGATTAACAGGCAACCCTCTCTTGCAATGAGCCATAGAAAAATGATAAAATAAGGCAAATACACTTTGAGTAAGTATTCCCCATTTTCGTTGAAACATTTTGACCGTTACAAGGCGAAAGTAAGTCACGTGACTTATACTGACAATGAAAAAGCTCATCAAATGGATGCAAACGTGGAAAGGAAACTGCATGCCAAGTTTCACAAAGATGATTTTTCCACTTGAAATAAAAAACCACTAAATTCGTGGTTGAGTCAAGTTGAGCTTTTCCGGATACATAACGTATTCCAAAATTTTCATTCTGGAGAGCGGATTAAAAAAGTTTCGGATTCGTATGCTGGACTCACCGGCCGGATTCGTGTTGGCGGTAGCCGTATCCGAAAAGAAAAAGTTGCGGATTCAAAAACATCCGGATACTTTTGGGCGGGACCAAAGTTGTGTTGCAAGAGAAAAAATTTACATCTTAATCTTATCCTGTACATAAACAACTTTGAGAGAAATTTGAAAACTTGACAAACCTTTAAGCTTTATTCCAGACCTTCGTGATACACACCCCTAAGTAGACGCATTCTACGAGTTTTTAACAATCCTTTAAATACGTGAAAGAGTGCAAACAGTATTTGTTATAAAAGGGAGAGCTCATGATCATTGTTACTGAATTCGGCACCAGTCGGGCACGACGTCTGAATCAAGGTCGAGTTGTTTAGCATGCCTCAAGCACGACAGAGCTTGTAAAGCCTAATTACCTTTTGGCATAAAAGTTCATTCCGACCGCAGGAGCGTTGCGTCCTTTACGCAATGTTGCTCGTGCGAACTTGAGAAATTGGTTGGATTTTTATAAAAAGATTTTCTGTCGATCCCCCAATACATTGCTTTTGAATAAAACAAAAAGGAAAGAGGACTGGAGAAATTCATGGAAACACATTTGTCGCCACAAGGAATCGACCCTGACTGATTATCATTCCTTTAAAGATTTATCTGGAAAATTTTCCCATTCAAATTAAAGCTATTTTTAAGTGGGAAATCATGGAATAGACCATGCCGACCATAATCGAGATATAAAGCTGAAGCAAAATATCAGGTGCACCTGTGGTGCGGCATCAACTAGAATTTTGTACGAAATTTGCACTCAAAAGAGGTAGGATCGTTTTCAATGAAAAACATTAGAGATATTCAGAACAACTGAAACCAAGAGCCATAATAGGACAGAGAGGGACACTCCCAGTCACGCCTTTGGGATATCTTAATCCCAAAAAAGTTATTTTTAGAACTATGCGGACCACGCGGAAACAGTTTCCGGTAAACTGGTTGACTTCCGGAAGATTCAGCGCGCCAAAGCGAGGCGGGGTCAATAAATGAAAAAAATGGCTGCTGAAGTGGAGGGACAATGTGGAGGGTGTGTACTTGATAAATTGTCCTTCTTCAACGAAGAACCTACCATAGAAAATAGTTAAAACTTCTACACAAACGGATCCTTTACAAGAAACGGTAGAAATACGGTTAAAGCGACCGCGTGGACCATCGTTTTTGTTGGAACAGCTGGAAAGAGGACAAGTAGCATTGCGTTTTACACAAAATGCGCGGGTCCTACAAAGATGACCGTACAAGCGACCGTGTGGACGTATTTTCTGTTGAAAGAGGAAGGAAAAAAAAATAAAGGTTTCCAGTATTTTTCTCAAGGACATGACCAGGAATCATGTGGAAAACACCTTTCCCTGCTTTGACTGATATTTTGTACCGTACTTCACTTTGGACAATTAACAATTATTCTTGAACACGAGGTGAATAGAAGCGGAATATTCGCGGCGAGGTTAATATTCCTAAAGCCACTATTCAGCAAGATTAAAAATCAGTAAGGAGACCATTTAAGTTCAATGTGATTGACGGTTTTGACGGATCAATTCATGTGAAAATCGGTATGTGCAAAAGTTTGATCTTTACAGAATTTTCAAACATTGCAAATCAAATCGCAGTTAAAAATCCTTTCGCAAACAGTGAGCTAATAATGGGTTATATGGAATAGACAGAACTTTAAATTCTGCTTCCCAGCCTGTGAAGAAAAGAAGAGCTTTGTTTTCATCTGTCGACTCGCCAAGTTAAGGAAAAAGGGTTCTTGTGCAGCAAATTTGTGTTGTTCTTTAAAAAGTGCAGACAATGGTAGCCCGGTTGCTCGAGGTAAGGAGCCCTTTCTCTGTAGTTTTCTTGACATTAAAATCTCGAAATTTCGTAAAGATTTGCTTTAAATTTTTTTTTGTCACAAGTTGAATTTGATTTCTTGGGAAAATTCGCCTTTAAAGGAAATGTTGACTTTACACAGAAACCACCTCTTCTATTCAATTTGTAATTGTCAACATTCCATCGAGCGAAAAATACTGCTCAGTAAAGTTAATCGGAAAACGTTCTTGAATACTTTGAAGTCTTCCTTACCTTCAAAAAAATGGACCCTAGCGAATTCTGAAAGGCTCTTACTCTAAAAAAGATTGGCAAAACACCGAGCTATCTCATTTTTTACTC